CAAAAAAAACAGGAGTCAAACCCAGCGAGAGTACAAGCCATTAACCAGTGGCTCCCTGTGTTATCCATATGTACGACTATGAATATATGTGTGATAAATGTCAGCTGAATACTTTAACTGATGTGAAACAGTTCTTTGTTGAAATCGCAATTGTGATGTAATTAAAGCCAAGACTTTGCTTTGGGACTCTGAATCTAGGATTAAAGAAATTTGACCAAAATTGACACCAAAAACGTTAAAATTAAATAGTACAAAAAAGGAAACAGCCAAAACTAAACTCCTGCCAGAAAATGTTAAAATAAAACCAAAATTGGCTGAAGATAACTATATGCTTTGCTCTATGTTATAAGTTAGCAAAACAAGCTCAGGTTAAGCAGGGCAATCTTAACTCAGTCAGTTAGTTAGAAACAGATACATGTTAAAAGAAATATTCAACCCTGTCGTCCTGGCTAGGTAGCTAGGCAAAATGTAAAAACAAACACATTCTAAATCAAATTCTAATTAAAGTTAGAATTTAAGACAGAAAAACATGAATACCTTTTGAAAAAAAAATTCTAATTAAAGTTAGAATTTAAGACAGACATGAATACCTTTTGAAAAAAAAAATAGGTCTGTGACTCATATTTTCGGCCTTACCAGTTTTACTCAGGGCTGATGAGGAGAAGAAGAGAACTGTGAGTTTTATCCAGACAGCAGACATGCTGACAGCAACTATCACCTGAACTGACACTCTGACTCCTCAGACGGAAATGTTGTCTGTTTTTTACCAACATTACTTCCGACTCCTCAGACGGAAATGTTGTCTGTTGTCAACGCAGCACGTGACCCAGATTTTTAAAAAAGGTCACAAAAAGGCTGCTTCGGTGTTTCGTCTGCCCACAGGTTTCAAGTGTTGCATAAAACAAAACTCAAACACAGGGCAATAAAACAGTTGTCAGTGTCTTGAGTGACTCCTCGCACACAAACAAACCACAACTGCGAGGCCCGAGACATGTGAATGACACGCGGTTCGAGTGTGGTGCAAAATACTTTAGACAAAAACACAAACAGATTCACGTTCTTATCAGAATGTTCAGAATGTGGCTACAGAAACTGACTGTGGTCTGTGTCAAATGTGAACCAAACCAAACCAAATCTCCTAATGGAACTTGGACGCTGTTTAGCAGTGCCCCCTTGTGGTAACAAACACACATATTTGCATTTTCAATTTCTTTACAAGCAACTGAAATGTTACTACACTGCGTGGTTGGTTGTGTCAACCACATACAGAAAGTATTTGTGTTTTTTTTTAACAATATATAAATCTGAAAACAGAAATCCAGCCACATTAAAATGAAATATATATAATAGGATTAATGAAAATTCAACCTGTATTTTAATTATATGACCATTTACGCCTTAGTAGTTACCACACAGTGGGCCACCTGGTGTAGATGTGGTTAGTGCTCCTGCCTTACAGCTAGAACAGGCATGGGCAACCTAGGGCCCTGGGCCCAGATGTGGCCCATTCAGCTTTTTATTCCGGCCCCAAACCTTTTCAAATTGTATAATTTATTTATATCATCATTTTACTTCTGCCTTTTCCCTGCAATACCCACGTCTCCCCAATAGATGGCACAGAAAATGATAAAAGCATTTTAGCTTTTATGCATGACTGTCATGTCAATTATCTTAGTTCACACAAACATTCCATCTGTCTGCTCCTGACCCGGCCCCGTGTTCAGTTTTAGGACAACTGTGGCCGCGAGTCAAGGAGTTTCCCCACCCCTGAGTTAGAAGGTCACCGGTTTAAGGCCCGTCAGTTACTGATGGTGTTCTCCAGTTTCCTGTGGCTTTGTATTACAACGATGACTCAGAAGGAGACCAAAGTCTTTTGCTTCACACAACAATACATTTTCTGAAAGTTTATGGTCTTAATTGCATGTTTCTATGTCTTTCAAAGTGGAATATGACGTCATTTCTGTGAACTAACCAAGAGTAAAGCAGTCACATGGTGTGATTAAAGCTCTGACAGACTCTGTTTTTCTGAGTTCTTCCATACGTCTGAAGTGGAGCAGCAGGTATTTACAGTCAGTTGAAAAACCTACTCAGATTTTTTTTCACTTTGCCAGTCTACGGCTACATGTCACCGCATGTGACTTGAAGTCCATCTGGTGAACACCACCTACTACGCACTACACACACAGACACACACTGCAACCTGGAACTGGAAGCCAGTTCCTCACAAATGTTTTTTTCTATTTTGCGCAAAAGTAAAAAAAAAATCTTTTGCAAAAGCTTTGAATTCAAAACTGTTCATTTGGTTCAATTAAGATTGAAAAAGTGTAAAAGCTATGAAAGACTCCAGAGAGTCAGGTCTTAACGTGTTAGAACAACTTTTGAAACGATAACATCTGTCTTTTTGAAAAAACAAACAAACAAAAAACCGTGAGCTGCTGCTGGAACTCCACTTCCTCCCAGGTGTGATCTGAAATCACAGCTAATAGCTCAGTGGACTCAGCACAGATACGGTAATGACCAACGTAATCTGAGCCTGAAATGATCTCAGCCAGCTCCATTACCCAGTCACGGCAGGATTGTAAACTCTGCATCAATGACGGCAATAAAGGTTTACACAGTCTTTGGGAATAAATAAATAAATAAATAAGTAAAAGGGAACGCCCAACTACCCACCCACCCACNNNNCGTGTGCATCTATTAGTGCCCTTCCTCCGCTCTCCTGCCGTTAACAATGTGAGCCAGAGCAGATGCTGCATTTATGTTGTCGTCTTCTCCTCCTGCTGGAAACAGCCCTGTCCATTTGCCAGACAGGGTTTCCTGTTTAGTGCTCGTGATGGGAAGAGGAGGCGTTTTTTTTCTTCTCTCTCTTTTTTTTTTCAAGCCGGCAGAATAATTAAAAGAATCTCTGAGTGGATACGGAGCAGAAATAGAATCATGTGGGGCCTGAAGGATGATCAGGAGGAGCTGTGTGTGTTTACAGAGCAGGAACAGGGCAGGAACAGAATGATTTATTGGATTTTCAATCAGGCAATAGGGCACATGTGACCCTGCAGTGGGGCTGTTTTTCTGCTCGTTGAGAAAGCACTGTGACTCTGCTTTGCTGAGTCAGTGCAGCGTGACTGAATACGGATATTGATTGATGTCTGACTGATGGGGGGCTACGGCTCTCAGAGATGACTCATCTCATTTCCCAAATTCGTTTTGTTCCGGCCCCCTCGTATCCTTTTCCTCTTTCACAGAGCTCCGGGGACCCACGCGGCCTCAGCTGCCACGCACGTGCTTTAATGACCAAATCAATACATTGAAGCCGTAAATGAGCAAAGGATGCTCAAACATTCATCAGCACGACACATGGTGTGGGGGGAGAAAGGGGAAGGGAGAGGGGGGGACTCTAATCTCTCTGGTCTCCCATTGAAGATAAGAAGGATAATCAAAGAGCAGGAGTGGACCACTGACCATTGTGACCCAGTTTATTGTATAGACCGTGATGGGAGCAAATGTGACCCAGTAAGAGTTACTGTGATTGGTGGAAGTGTTGGCATTATTAGTTCAAAACAAACAGACACTTCCTCCGTCTCCACTGTCTCAGTCAAAACACATGGCCAAAACCTCCAACACTTTTTTTTATCTTAACTTTGAGTCCTAACTTATGTCACAGTCAAAGATAAAATAGGTCAAAATAGTTAATCAAATATCCAGTTAACACTTGAATCAATCTAATCTAGACAATGTCCACTGTTTTATGGTTTATCTTAGACTTTGCTGCACTAACATCGTTGCAGGGTTAGTTACATCTACGCCTACCAGTTGACTAGTTATTAAACCTCATCTTTATGACCTTTATGACCTTTCCAGTCTCATATTTTTGGAAGGTGATACAGACCGCCACTGTTACAGTCAATTTAAAGTTTGTGATTCAAAAACCTTTAAACCTTCCTGTGTTTTTCATCAGCGTTCGACTCGACTCAGGACTTTTTTCCTGTGGATACAACAGGAAGAGAAAACAAGTCTTCATTGACTCCACTTCAACATCCTGGCATTTCTCCAGGACAGGAAGTTCTTTTCCTGAACTCTAGTGACCTTTGCATGCCATTTCACGACAGACGAAGGATTAAAAAAAAGAAAAGAAAACCCACACAGCTCCACACCTCAGTGCTTTCTACTGTGAATCTTCTACCTGCTGTTTGTCTGCTTTCTATTAAAGACAGTGAATACATAGAATGGAAAGTCGTCAGGAACGGAATAAAATGAAAGCCATCAATTTGTAGACAGATCTCTGGGAAACAGCTGAGCCTTTAAAATGCTTTAGGGACCGACAAAAAAAGATATACGGTCAGGAAAAAAATGTCTAATAAGAATTAGCCAGGGAATTTTAGCTAAAAAAATATTTGTAACAGCTTAAAACTAGACAAAAAGCTAAGAGGTCCAGAATTTTATTTTTTATAACGATAATAATGACACATGCCAACTACCTTATATGCTAGGAACACCAAATCACAGCTTTGGTTTGATAGAGTCTTCACACACACTCAACAACTTTCAATCAAAACAGACAAATTCACATTCGTGCTGGACAAGGTTTTCCAGAGGATAACGAGTACTACCAAATACAGCTATTTGATGAAGTGCTATCAAAGTAATACTTCACAACAGTACCTCTACCATGAATATCTTTCCTGCCCGTGGACTTGACTAAATACTGAGTTAGGACTAAGTGCACAGACCCCATTAATCAGAAAGTGTTGAGAGCCAAATAACCACTGCATGATGTCATGAGGAGACGGAGCACTTTCCCTCTCTCTATGACAGAACTGGCAGCAGCTCAGGTGAATATTGTGAGCAGACAGGTTTCCAGTAAAGAGTCTGCAGCTTTCAACTCCATCTTTGTGCACACGAATACCACCTGGAGCACAAAGATGTTTAATTCAGTATTCAAAAATATCCCCCATCCCTACTACAGTGATGTGAGTACATGGAAAAAAGTAGAATAATCAGCCACAGCAAATTCATACCAATCTTTATTGTATTTAGAAATCCACGCTTCATTTTTTTTTTCTTTACCATTTACAACAGGGGAGGATGAGAGACAAGCTAAAAGTCATGCCTTTTCCCAGCAGGCGCGATGCACTACAGGATGGACTGAAATGGAGGAAGAGGGTGAAATACATAAAGTGCTTTTGTCAACATTTTCTTCTTTTTAATAGAAAAAAGGATCAAAACAAAAGGTTTGAAGGCGGAGGGAGTGGAAACAGGGCTCTGGGGTCGTGACACCAGCAGTGAAGGTGAAGACGGTGAAATGATGATGAGGAGGAAGAGAGGTGTGGGGGTATTTATTTAAAAAAAAAAAAGGTGTTTAAATGAAAAAAACAAAACAAAAATAACAAGTGGTCTCAGCCCAGGATGAGGCTGGACTTGCCACCGGGTGGGTTTCTTCGGCCACCGGCGTTGGCATTGGCATTTCCCGACGGCGCGGGCTGTTGTGGGTTCTCCTTCTGCTGCTCTTGCTCTTCGTGCTCCACGTCCTCCGAAGACTCCGGAGCTGCAACAAAGGAAAACGCACATTTATTCAGAGCAAACAGGTGAAGCCGTGTGACGCCAGATGTCTGACGGAGCTGAAGCTCAGAATCACAGTGTGCAGAAACGGCTGTGTGACAACCACCGTGTGTCAGTACTGACTGACCTCCGCCTCAGAATTTTGAATATCTAGTAGGCAAATATTAGCCTACTGAATTAACGCATCACACACACACAAAAAATGAATGCAGGTGGTTTATAGCACAACCTGCAGGGGAGAAAGTGGAGCTACATGCTGTGTTAACAACATTGTATGTGCATTTCCTTTACAGCATTAGCTACATGTATGTCTATGTTATGCACAGCAGTGACTTAAAGGCTACTAAATGTAGTTAAACCAGTGTAAAGGGGGAAGAGCATATTTGATGAAATAAACTTCTTCACAAACATAAGAACCCACTGACTCTCTTCTTTTGTTTTAAGGTAGAGGCAGAAAGTGAGCTTCGATCCCTGAACTCTGATGGAGATGTGCGGTCAGACATTCCATTATCTCAGACAAACGTGCACCTGGAGTTTAATAAAAAGCTTATTCACAACAAGTCGGACCCTCCCACCAGAGAACAGCTGCCTGCCCACAGACCATCACGGGGAACATACCACATCAAAGAGGTCACGTGATGTTGGCAGGGAAAGGCAGAACATGTGTACTGCGTCTTTAAATTTAAAAAAAAACTTTTGATATGGCAGCAGGATGTGGGATGGTGCCAGCCTCCGCAGCCACTCAGGAACTTTTACAGCCTGTTGGGCTTGTTGTAGTGAGCTTCTCACTGACTAATCCAAGTCATGCACTGCTGGTTAGACATGGTGAGAGTGAGACAGAGGCTTATTTTAAACAGCTGCATAGTTTAAGACACTCACCATCGTTCACTTGCTCTTGGCCATTTTCATCCTGTAATAAAAACACAAAAATGTCAGCGATCTTCACTGAACACGATGGTTTTTCTCATAAGAGGAATCACAAAATAATTCTTCGTCTCTATCCTACGGCTACTAATTTCTTTCAACACGCTGCAGACTAGTCTGTGCATCGTCTGGATTCTACAGTTGCAGGCAGACATAACAGCTCTCCTGCTGATTTTTATTTTGGCCCGAATAGAAGCCAAAACAGAACGCAGTGTGTGGAAAAATAATTCCTACAAACACGATCCAGATGTCCATTAATCAACTGGAAGCTTTTCACGACATTTTGGTGGATTATTGGTGATTGATTACATCACCGCAGCAGCTTTCTAATCACTGAGATGTGATACATTTCTAAAAGGTTGGCCACGTCTTTTGTTTGACTAGTATCAAATTTCATTCCTGTTTACACTTCAGTCACATTTCTTGACTGCAAATTTAATCAGTATAGTCTGCAAGGTCTGATCTGTTCCCAGGAAGAAGAAAAAAAAAACTTCTCAGTCCAGTTTAAAAGTCATGCTTCTTCCACCACTGGATTTCTCTGTTGTACTTTTCAGAATTCATGCCCCATCTATGACCCCTGTCTGTGCTCATCAGCCCTAAACTAGGCCACGGCTCTGTTATGAAAGCAGCATGTGTAGGAGTAAATGGGAGGTACATCTCGTCTCTGGTTCCACAGCATGGCTGCCCCGGAGTTGTGGATGGTGGTCAGTTCCGGTTGAGGGTTCTTGGGGAAAAGGAGAGGCTGCTGGCATCGTCTCAATGGAGCCGAAGGTTCACCGCACAGGGTCCCAGCGGCTTCACCAGCTGGGAGATAAGAGACAGAGGCACTGTTAGAAAACCTTATCTAACCTTAGTGCTGGCCAACAGATGAGTGTGTAGTCAAAGCAGACAGAAACAAAACAATCTTCAGTTGAAAAGACTCTCTGACCAAACAACAAAAATGAGAGGACAAGAGGTGACCTGATGTAGAGTACATGCATGTGATTTTTAAATACCAAGGTCACTTTATTATAGCTGATGAGTCCAAATGTCCATTTTAAAATATATTTAAACAAATACTTGTATAAAACAAAATCCCCTGCAAATAATCCAAATCAAATGTATCAGGAAAGTTTTCTTTTTAAACATAGATCCACCATTTGGATCTGAGTTTCAGAATACATAATGTTGTTTTTTGATTTTTTTTGTCGTGTTTCCAGGATGTGCAGGTTGCGAGCGGTAAACATTAATAATGTAGGAACAGACTTTGGCGGAGGAAGAGAAGGTTTGAATGGACCAGCAGAGGAAACAGGCTGCAAAAGGAACTCCTTCAGAATGATTCTGGTGTAAACTGAAGCCACTTCCTCCTCTACAGTGACACAGCACGTGACTTGACGACTTCAGAACACGAGCTTGATGATTAAAAGTTACAGTCAGGATATTTTATTCCTTGTTAAGATTCTGGACCAATTATTTGCTTTTAATGAACATAGTTGTGATTGAGTGATTAAAATTGCAGAGTAAAATATAAATATATATTACATTTAGGATATAAAGCATATCACTTCAGTCCTGTTGTCCAACAGGAGTCTAGTTCTTGTGGAACCACAAATTTCTCTGTCCAATCCAGGCTCCCAAACAAGTGGAATTTGTGAATGTGAATTCGACAAAGTACAATTACCTTCAGACAAACCATTTCAGTCTTTGCAAAAGGCCTTGAATTTATTTTTAAAAAATACTTCCAGGCAGACGAGCTGGAAGCCAAAACTCACACAAGGCTACAATACCGACAGTCTAGTGTAGCAGAGAAAAGCAATAAAACTGTCTTTGGCTCCTCGTAGACGAAGGAGCCTGTGCTAATCAAAGCCACATAAGGTAACGTCCTCGCTCCGGCCCGGAGGACTGGGAGGGGACAGAGCGTCTCTGTGATGATGGGAACAACGGCGGCTGGAGAAGAGGAGGAGTGGCTGCTGCTGTTGTTGTTGATGGAGTGAAGTGAATCAGCAGAGCCTGAGAGCAACAACAAGAGCTCCTTCACTGCAGTCGGACGACACACACTCACTCACACACACACAGACTCCTGAGTCTCACCATTCACCAACAAACAGCAAATGGAAGGAGATTAATCTCCATCGACGGGGTAAAAGCAATGCATTATGTTATCATGGCTGTAACACATAGCCTTCTATTTAACATTAGAGATCTCCTGGGTCCATTATATTTATGTATATGTTACTGACCAGGCTTTGACAGAGGAACATAAATTAGATTACTGCTGCTAGTCCTGGCTTCCTCTGTGCTCAGTAAATGGAAACCAGGACAAATCAACAACCTGTATTTATTGACACATGATAGCATGGGCCGAATACTGCAGTCATTGTCTTCTTTTCTTTTTAATTCTAAGAGAGAGTCAACATGATTGATTCAACCTGTCGGCACTCAAGACAGTAAATTTAAAGTGTAAGACCAGACTCAAAACACACAGTAAAGCCTTTTATCTGCCATAAAAGAAAAAGAAAATGGATTCAGATGTGTTGCTGTATTTTTAAACTTCAGTCTGGGATTTTTCTCATGTCACTGACATGATTGCTCCTGCTAGTATCCCAGATGCAGAAAAAGTCATACTGAGAAATACTCATGCTGCTTGATGGGGAAAAAAATTAAGTTGTCAACAGTTAATTTTTCTACCTGCATACTTGTTGCAAAGATGTTGCATTCAAGGCCAATTTTTTTTCAAGGAAAACACACGGATTTATATATACTTGTAAAATATAATAATTGAGAGGGTTCAAACACATGGACCTTACTGAAGTTGCTAGTTGACGTCTTTCTTCTTTTAGTGAGTTTCAAACATCTTCAACATCATGCGTAGGTTTTGTTTTTTTTTTTCTAAAGTGACCTAACGTGACACATCACGATCCAAACAGTGATTACCTGTAAATCCTGCTAATGCAATAAGCAATGCTCTTGTTGGCAGACACAAACATCCTAGGACAGCTGAACTTGACCAGGACCCAAATGAAACAATGTAAGCAGGAAAGGACTTCACTATCAGCAGCTGCCGGCTGAATTAGCCTGGGCTAAAAATATCGATACAGCAAAATATCATGCAGTAAAACTCAGTGGCAACGTAAATATCGATTCAAATGTTACTGTAACCAAGTGGCAGGAAATGCCGTAATGATTGTCTGGATGCATTAACTACAAATCAGATGCACTGTCTGGTTAGAACACAGTGTAGTGACAGGTTGTTTCACAGGATCCAGCATAAACCAAAAACAGATTACAAGCTAAAACCAAAGATATACTAGATGTTTTTACAGCTCAGATTTAGTCTAGTGACTTGTTCTTCATACAAGATTGAAATTAAATACTGCACTATTACTACTATATTTGTTGGAGGGACAGAAAAATGATATTGTCTACCAATATTATTTGATGTTTATTTTTGGTATCCAGTCAGGGGCCAGATTAAATGGTTCAGCCCACGGGCTGCCAGTTAATGATCACTGGTCTACACTATTAAAAATATATGAATGAAGCTTTCCTGTCCTAAACTATAGCACCACTATAGTATGTTTCCCCCAAGGGGGATGAATAAAGCCCTACTCTACTCTACACGGTCAAGGCCTAAAAAAAACCTGTATGTAACTGAATTTCAAAATAAAGTAAAATAAAGTGCAGAATTTCAAATTTACTCTTTATTGATCTTTTTTTTTTGTTCATTGCGATATTACTATATACTTTGTCATTTAATCTTTTCCTCTATAGTTATTGTCGCCACAATCTCTTGTTGACGTCCTGCAGCCAGTTCTGTTAGTAACGTATGCCACACACATTTTTCACCTCGGGCTTTTAACATAGTCTTCCAAAACTTCTTGTAAGAGACATAAAATCTGAAAAGATCATTTAATACTTGTAAAGGTGTGTTCCCCTACAGTGTTGATGACAAACAAAGGCATCACAATAACTGCATCTCAACATGTATTTGATCATGGCTCTGTAACACTATACTTATTGTATTTCAACGTTGTGGGAAAATACAAATCGGAACGGCTCCAGGGGTCGGAGGGGTGAGGTAATGATTTTTGGGTTAATTCATCACAGGCCACACACACACACACACACTTCAAATTATGATACCCTGTCATGAGCTGGAACAACTTTGTGAGTGTGAAACCACAGGATTCTTCAGGGATTCTTGAGCAAAATTACAGCTTTGCGCTAAATGAAAAGCTTTTTTGTTAGTGTCTGCTTTTTAAGCATTTGTTGAATATTTTAGACTCAATGGATATGAATGTACATATGCATACTTGACATGTAAAATGCTGTCAAAGTGTCAGGAAAATTCACCAAAATATTTGGTTTTACTTGCAAAGAGATATTCACATATATTATTTATGTTGCAGTACAGCAACACGATCAGGAAAAAGCTGCACTACTACAGAGAGTGTTTGGATCATTTTCACAGGTAAAAATGTATTAAATTAATTTTTCTTTTTCCAAATTTAAGCCAGTTTTACTGGATGCATGTTCTGATCTTGGTAACATTTATTTGCAGGATGTTTATCCCTCGTTTACCTGAATCCACCCTCCTGTCTGTGTATCAGCATGCGTTTCACCCGATGACAACACTTTCATCTGACCCATTTTTTTTTCCAGTGTCTCATTCACATTAACAAAGCCCAGCTTCAAATTACCCTTACCCCAGAGCTCGGAGGCTTTTTGGCTTTACCAGTGGTGGGACGTCCTTATAAAAAAGGCCTAAATGGAAAAATACTGAACAACACATGACTGTGTATCTTTTCCTCGCTCAACTTAGAAAAATTAATTCCACTGGGTTTTCCTTTTTTTTTTTGCTTACTTAAGGATTCCGGTATCATTGCCTACGTTTGCAAGACTGAGCTTGCCCTCATGTACCCTCGCCGGTGCCAAACTTAAACCACGTCTAATGCTGTTCAGTGAATCAAAGCCTGACGTTGTCATTAAGTTGTGGAAAAGTGACTACGATAGGTTGCAGGGGTGTTGGATTGTAATTACTTGGTGGATTGTTCCTTCGATGAGCATGAGGGTCATCAGGCTCAGCAAAGATGTTAGAGGCCATGCTGCTTTTGCGTGGGGTGGAGTTGTCATCTGTGCCGAAGGAGATGCTGGAGTCTCCGCCTGGCGGTCGTAGTACCCTGTGGAGCAAGAAACGGAAGTAAGTTTCCAACTAGAAACTACATTCAGTAATCAGTAAGTCAATAAAGCTATAGAAAACAAAAAAGTCAGTACCAAAGAACAGGTACTAACACATTCTTGAGCACCCAGCTGTATACTTCAAGACATCAATCTGTAAATTGTTTGGGACATCTTAGGAGAACGTCAGTTCCTCTGACAGAACATACTGCACCAACAAGAAGCTTTTGCATATTTGTAATGTAATGTAGACAATAACGGCACTGCTTGGACGAGTATGTAGAACTGGAACTGTTATGATTCCCCAATGATGTGCTGGTGCATAGACAGGACATAGCACTTTTAATGGTCTTAACTTGAAACACCAGGGCATATCATAAACTGTTTTATTAACTAAAATTTGGGGTCACTGTAAACCCATTTCTCAACCTCTGTAAAAAAAACAAAACCAGCATCTCAACTTTTCACTGATTATTTGGGGCAAAGTGTCACATTTTTTTCTGTATTTGTGCCTCAAATAATGTGACCATTGTGGAGCAAGAAAATGTAATCTGTAACCACTCACTGGAGCCCTACATCAACAGCTTTACGGTGATATTGGAGGTTTGTTATTGTCTGTTGGTTTTGTGTGTCGCCCTTTGTTGCTGCTCTGGCCCTAAAAAAACACACACACACTTAACTCCCAATCATCACTCGACTCCACCCTAACCCTTGCAAACATATTACTCACACACATCAAAACAGAGGCTCCTGTCAAGGTCTACCCTCTCTAAGCCCCGGCTGTCGGCCTGTCAGACAAACAGCACAATCTTTGCCCTGCAGCTGACTCCGGTCACATATAATCACAGTTAGTTGGCTAGCTGCTGCCTCTCCCTGCACAAATTCTTTTGCCGTGACATATTAAAAGGGTTGGTGTCAGTTTTCTATAGCTTTTTCATTTCATCATTTGATTCCACTTTTTAGGCCAACTTGACAAGTGTGAGGTCATTAACTAATATAGGTCACCAGATGTACTAAAGGCAGTACCAGACCAATTTAAGGGAGCTTACATGCAGGCTAGTGCTTGATAAACAATGTCCGCTTCCCATCAACATTCCTTCCACCACTATGTGAACAAAAGGAACCAATAATGAGCAGGAAAACCTTTTTTGCTGTGCTGAAGGACAGTTGGGCTGGAAGAGAGAAACTGTGTGTGTGTATGTGTGTATGCGCTTGTGTGCTGATCCCCTTCTGGACCCCTCCCTCTTCTTCCCCAACAAACCCTCCTCTCCTCCCTCGAAACCACCACCACCAGCTGACACTGGAGCAGCTGTCCGGAGGGCCAGGGGAGGCATATGGAGTCCAAAAATCAAGGCAACTCAAAGGGCAGAATTACAAAGACGAGCAACTACTGGAGGAGGATCCACAGCACGTGGACCGCTTCTAATTTTCTCAATCAATTCTCGTATATACAAACCAGTGTGGGTGACACACAGTGATGTGACAGTAATGCCTAAACCAGACTTCACCTCCCGGCCAGAGGGGGATGAGCTCATGATTTCCGCACAGATTGCGACTGGGGGAAAGACTTTAGCTGCCTGGCAGCAGACCCCACCCTAAAATCAAAATGCAAATGTTATCAATAAAATAGCACCGATGTTGAGCAGTTGTACACCAGCACACAGGTGGAGCCAGGTTTGACAATGCTGAACTGCCATGACCACGATGGCATGACTGATAACGCATGGAGCGAAGAAAAGCGTTTTAATGGCCTACAAAGCTTTCAGCCTAATTCTGCTTCGGTCTCTGCACTACCGATCTTCTTGGACAGCCGGCATCAGAAATAATCAGTCACCCTTTCAAAAAAAAATTAGGGTTTAAAGAGACAAATCAAAGAGCTAGAATTTACATGCTTAGCTAGCAGCTCAAAGCCCCCACCCAAGCCCCTGCATCATCTGAGCACAGCATGGCACATCAAAACGCCTGATGATTGACCGGGATTTACAAAGCTCATTCAGCTGTGGAAGCATTACCTTTGAATCATCAGCAGAAGCTGAAACATTTAAACCAGTTTGATTAAAGCTTTACCATTTTAGGTGTTGTCTTTCCTCTTTTATTGTGTTCACTCTAAAGGGCGAGGAATGCATTTAGACGAGACAAATCACTAACCAGAAAGCTATGACTGCATGCTTGGACGATGAGTGGTCTTTTTAAGTCGGCGGGTGTGTGTTAATGTAATCGTCCTCGTGAATCACAAGATGTAGCATTAAACAACGCAAATGTCCATCTGTAAGCCTCTCCCTCAACGTCCATCCATGCCAGACATCGGTGAAGGAAATGAAGAGATAATGACATAAGCAGACCCGAGTCTGGTCTGAGATTCTTCCTGTGACCAGGGACAGAGTTGGACTTTAGTCGGCTCATTTAATGTTACTGTGGACCTCAACAGGGAAATGCAACAGAAGCTACAGTTAGTAGTAGGTAGGCCTTTTTTTTAAATCTACAAAGTGAAACATATTAGGAATTCACAGCAGGAAGACACAGAGCTGCGGCTAAAACTAAGAAAAGTTAGTGGGTCACGGCCACTTAAGAGCTAAGGAAGAAGCATTTTCAACGAAAAGGGGCAGGAAATACCATTATTTTATCATTCCTTTAAAAAATAAATAAATAAACTTAGGCAAACGTTATTCGCCTCAGCTCTGGGGGGTTAACTTAACTAACTTATTGTAGCCAGCAGCTATGGCGCATCACTCAGCCAATAAGATTAACTTAAAAGAAGGCGATACGTCGTAGTTCAGTTAAATCTAGAAAATTCTCTGATCGACCATAAAGAAGGCCCCAGTTCGGCAGAAAAGTGACTTTGACTAAAAGCGTGAAAAAGAGGCGTTTGCTAGCGTCGAGGACCCGCATCCCACTTCTTTTGTTCCTTCGTCAAAGGCTTTCTGCTCCTTTTTACCTGGAACTGCTTTTAGTACCGGGGTCCATTCCTTTAAAGGTGGTGGTCGTCGTCATCTTTAAGGACTTTTCGCTGTCTTGGCAGTGATAAGGAATCAGTGAAAAAGGAAGGAAAAGAAAAATACAGCAAATTTCCCCGGACAGCTCCCGCAGAGATACGACAAGAAGCCGACTCCACCCGTCACTAAAACACCGAACGACTACCAGATCCACTGGTTCTGCAGAGCCTGCCCCCCAAGACCCAGCCCACCGATGTTAGAGCCTCTCTGATTGGATATACCCACAGAAGCGTCTTCTCTGATTGGACAAAAACACTCAAGCGCCGTCTTTCATGCTGGTAGCAAATCTGGTCAGTTGGTGTCAGTACTCTTACTTTTTTCTGTCCGTGACATTTAGAAGATGTTAATCTTTAGGTCAAGGATTTGACTTATTTTCCACACTTTTTTTGCTTTAATTTAATTTACTTTGTTCACAAGCATGTCTTTTTCTGACTCTAATGATATTTCACACATTTTTTAACAAAATGAACAAAATGGACAGATAAGTCTCAAATCCACCCTTTTAATACACTTTTGATGATTTTAATTTGCCAACAAATTTTGACACTAAACTCCTGTTTCCACCATTTTCACTGAAATCCTTTGGCCTTAATTGTTTCCTCAGCATTAACTCCAGACTAAAATCCCAGGGATTTTTGACTGAATTGTCAGACATCATGGAACTAGACTTTTCTTTAGTGACTTGGACTCACACTGTCTCAGTAGATCTCTTTCTGATCAGTCTGAGTCACACAAGGACATAATCCACTGACTACACTTGCATGTCAGAGTCTGGGGGCCATTGAGAAGTTTAGACATCCGGATTTTTTGTCTGAGTCAACGTGAGTCACAGATAACGTTTCAGACCAGTCAGACCTGGGCCCGCGGGATTTAAAGTCATCTCATAGTGTAGATTTTCTGTGACTAACATAGACTTGAGACAAAACTTTTTCTGTTTTGTTCTTCTTGAACTTGAACACAAATACTCTGTCCCTAGATACAAAATAAAAATTGTTTACAAGTGTTTTTCATTGGTCAAGAAAATATATAAAGGTTTTGGAAAATTTCAAGGCAATGTCTTGTAGCTGTTGTTTGCAACATTTTTAGTTAACTTTCGGGTATTTCTAGCCTAACTGAGTTCATGTGTTCATTCATATAATCATTTATTCTGACAAACTAATTTTCCTCTTATATCTTACATTATATAAAGAATATAGAATATAATCTTATATTGCTGTATTTTCTGTGGTTTACATATATTGATGAATACATTATCACAGCACGGTTCTTCAAACTGTGATTATAATTCAGATTCAGTTTAGAGAAGTCTCTGCAGGTCAGACCATTACACCAGTGACCAGCTGTACAACAATAATGACAGTTTGGAAAAAAGACATTAGCTTTATTTAGGCATCTTAATAGACAAAACAGATGTTTATTAACTGAAACATCTCTCCAGGATCAACGAGGCCTGAAGCTTAGGCCTAGTCAAATGATTACCAAAAACATCTCTCTACACATCAGCTACCTTATAAAAATGTATAAAATCAAAACAGGTTTTTGAAGTCGACAGGAACCAAATGACAAACCCAGCCCAATCCCAAACTGGATGCAGTGTTAACCAAGTGTTAGGCAGCCCCACATTCAAATAGACAAGGGTTTAGTAGAGATTTACAGGAAACTGAGCAGGTCTTGTCCAAGGACTGGTCAAGTTAGCTTAATCCAACCAGCCCCAATGGCCAAGTCTATTTGCAACCATTAAAAAAAAAAAAAAAAACAACCCTTAGGGTGGGTGGAGGGGGTCATTTACATTTACCACAATACAGTATGAACAAACAAAACCTGAACTGAGGGCGCTCTGGATCTGGTTTATGTACAAAAGTAAAAGTAACAGGAGCGAGAATGCACATACTATACAGCAGTTTTGTGTGGTAGAGAAAATGACAACTTCTTCAGAGATGGAATTCTGTCAAGACCAAAGGACAAGTCGCAAAGAAGCAGCCGCTGTGTATCAAGGGCCGTGAAGCGTGGTTGTGTCGGTGGTGGAAAACGGTGGTGAATGCGGTCAGTTACATCAGGCCTCCTGTCTGTTGCTGAAACACATCGATTGTATCTTCATCTTCCATTTCCAACTGTTGGGAGACAAAGGTTATTTCTCTCTCACTCCATGTGTCCAAAGTGTAAAAATATAGACTAAAGTCATTCATACATTTTAATTACAAAATATGTAGCATCTGAAAATTTACATTCATTAAAAAAGTATTTAATTTAGCAAATAATTTCTGATATTACTTTGTGGTATTCACATAAAATGTGAGATTTAATGTTTAATGGATCAATCAGGGTTTTGGTGTGTTGAGAAAGTACCAAGAACTTCCCGGATCCCTGGTGCAGTGTAGTGCCACCACTGCCCTTAGTTCTCAAGTGTTTTAATTGGAGGAGACATGTTTCATTATTTGTTCATGTACATTGATAAATAAGTACATGATGTACTCATGTTAACTTGGTTATTGTTGAACTCTGACTTAAATACAGTAAATCCAACTCACCTGTGCAGGTGTGTCTGTTTCATTTATCGGTTGTCCATCAAATCTGAACCTGATTTGCCTCATTGACAGTCCCTGATGGATAGAAACATTAAGTTCACTTTAATTGGATTGAAGAAACAAACAACTCCACTCTGGTAAAACAGGAAGGTTGAAAAAGCAGCAGAACAAATGTGGTTCAGAGCCAGTAAACAATGGACAATGAGTCTGTAAAGAAATACAACTGCAAATGTGACCATTAGGAACTTTTTAATGAGCACCATCTGTCCTTCTTTTGACCTTTTATTACACTTGATTTATTACAAGTCATTCTCATCTGTGATATAGATTACAAAATAGTTTCACCAAGGACAAATATCAAAATAAAAGACTGCAGGGTTTGACAGCGATTCATAAAAAGTATATAAAATACTTTTATAGCAGGTTTAAGGTCCAAACACTGACTCATGTTAATTTACTAAACAGACCCAATATTCTTTGGAAGAGCTGAAACTTGAGATAAACAAATAAAATAAAAAATAATTTTATAATGCTTAGATTTTATTACTTGCAAAAGAAAGTCTCCCCATGCGGTCGCTAGTTGACGGAGAAATAAATACTTTTGTATTATTTTAGAGTTATTTTGCATCTTCTACTTGCAAACAAAGTCACAGGGTTCTAAATGTACATTATGTTAATTTCCATGCAGTGACTGTGATTACGTTGACTTGTGTTTGTCAAGGCAAATGTTTACTTGAAATGGGTACATTCAGTGTGTGATGTCACTGAGTCACCCTTCCTCCCATTCCTGCCTGGGAACCACTGCTTTACTGGTCACCACAGGAAAACCAAATAACCCTCATCCTGAAACAAACATCTTCCTCAATGTTCACAGTCGGTCAGCAATGACTGTTTTGCACACTGATATTGTGCTTCACCCACCTGTCTCTCACAATAGGCCTTCATGAGTTTGATGAGCGGTGTGTGTCTTTTAATTTTGAACTGCACTACAGATCCATCCTGGCCTGCCACCTTCAGGTTTATGTGTTCATTATTCTCTGTCTTCACCCCTTCCTGTAGTAGAGAAGTAATAAGATAACACAGATTAGTAGAGATACTACGAGTATTGAAGTTGGGAGTGCATAAAAAATAAAAATCTAAACCTAAAAAATAAATACACTTCAGCACTGTAATCACAATTACCAAAAAACAAACTTTCTGACCAAAGACGTTTTTCTCCTTTTTACTCCATTCCACTCAATCCAAACAATGCAAATGCAAAAAACAAACTCCCAGGTGCATTTGGGTGTCAAGGTTTTTTAGAAGTCAGCAGGAGTCGGGTTTTTAATTAATCTTTGACGCATTCTTTGTTATAAATTTGTCAAATTTTGTTGACATAATAAGTAAATCTGTAACAAATAATCAAAGAAAATAGATGAACTGATTACAAAATGATCAAGAGCTACAGCTTTAATAAAACTCACTAAAATAAAAAAAATGTGTAAAACAAAGTTGGACACAACTTTATTATAGTAGTTTGTTCAGATAAAAATTTCTATTTGATCAGAACCAAAAGAAACACTACATCTACGATCCTGGCACCTGTCAATGAACATCATTACATCAGGCGTTACAACCTTATAAACTGATTTGCAAGCAGTGTTATTTTACTTCATGATTATATATAGTCTGTATAAGTTTACCCCTAAATTCACTTTTCAAATAGAATAAAGTTAATAGAACATCTATTTTTGTACAGTCTGCCAATAAGACCAGTTTAGATCTGAGAACTGTATATATATATATATATATATATATATATATAGGTGTTAATTGGTGTAATTTTATATTTTATTTATATACAATTTTGGAAATACCTGGTATTTATTTTACATAAGACATATTTAATATGGTTTAACTGTTATCAAGTTTCATGTGCCTACTGTAAAAAATGGAAAACAGAAATAATTATTGTTAGAGCAAACACAAGAGCCACCACGTGGTTACGGGTAAACAGAAACAAAAACGCAATGACACCGCATTTCTCTTGCAAATTAAAAGTTCCCAAAGCACACTTCTCTTTGTTTACATTCGCCGGACTTGTCAGACAGAAAAGTCACTGCTTGACATCAGAAAATTAATGTCTGAGATTTATTTAAATGGAGTTTTGACGGTTGTTTATGTTACGTCCTCCTTGGATCTTAGAACACGGTGAGGAGGACACCATCTGGTTGCAGTGTCAGATTGGATCCAACAGGCGCGGCGGCCGTGTCATACACACAGGACACATGATCCTCGGTACACCTGTGAGGCCGCCCGTCAACAACAGGCGTCTCTGATGACAAAGATATGACACAAAGCAGCGGCTCAGTCAGAGCTGCTCTCTGTCTGCAGCCTCACTTTCATTTTCACTGTTTTTGACACCAAAAAAAAAAAAAAAAACATCTGCGCGCCTGTGGATGCGCGTTCACAAACCTTCCGCTCTATCAAAGTAGGGATGGCTAGGAGTTGAATTTGACTCTGAACTTTATCGCTATGATGCAAAAGATGTGGGACTGTCTATATTTAGACGCCCGCTCACTTCACAAATTCGCTTAAATAACGCGGTATTGAAAAACTATGCAAAAAGACTCACCTTTGGTTTTTCATCAGCCATGGTCACTCTTTTGGCGCTTCTCTATGCTGCCACACAAAGAATACGAGTACGCGCACGTACTCGCCCACCCTACAAATTTCGAACCCAGCGTGCGCGATCTCGATGCAGTGCGCGTCCATCGCTATCATCAGTGAATGGCTGCCCTTAGTCACATGGACTAAAGCGCAGTCATTGCATGGGCGGGAGAGACTGGATGCGCGTTAAGGAGGTGGCGAGCGCCACATGCACGCGCACAGCGGTGTTTTACTTTTTGTTGTAGTTTAAAGGAAATTCCATGCCAGAATAAGCATTTAAATACCTAACTGGCTACATAGTTAGGATCTAATCACCATTCTAGGCAAAAGCAATACTACGGAGGTGCAGTATTTTCAGTAAATGTTGTCAGTTTTTATACCCTGAATCCTGGCGGCCATCTTGTTTTCCCTCTCCTGTGAGCAAAGCATACAGAATCAAAAACGAATTGTCTGGTATTGAAGTAATGTCGTATCTACAATGAAATTATATCTACCACTTTGTAATAATGATAATAATTATTAATTAAATTATAAATTATTATAATTTAAATATTTGCACGATGTTTTTTATTTAATTCGCTTTTATATCGTGTACTCTTCTTATATAGAATTTAAATATGAAATTTTTAATCATGGACATACAATTTATGAATAGGTCATTTCTTTGGATACCTGAATGAGAATACATTAGACAACAATGTGTACAATGAAACAGGCAGTAAATAGAGCAGCCCTTTCCCTGACGTCATCACGCGTGCGCCGTCATTTGTTCGGCTGAAAGAGAGGCGCGGGAGCTGCATTGTACCTTAGGGTTATGAAAAGAAGTCATTATAGTTGTAAAATCTAATATTATTGTATTTTTGCAGTGTAGATATAGGTCTTCTTTAATGGAGGAGGTAGATGTCGAGCCGGTCATTACTGTAAGTAACCGCTGAGCCTATTTTCGCTTTATTTACAGAAAGTAAATAGCAATCCAGCTAACATTTAGCTACATAGTAACAACCTGTCAACTTGACAGCATACTTCAGTCAGATTGAGAGATTCCTTTTTCTCAAAAATGTTTCAATCGGTTTATTGTCAGGTTTAAATGAAGTATTCAATTCCGAATTGGATTATGTGACTCACTAGTATCATCTCACTTGGATAGATTTCAAACTTGATTTTCAAACTTCTTTTGTATTTTGATTTTTAATTTTCTGTGTCTTCAACAGCGCCTGTCTATAAAATATTAAGTGGGGGCATTTTGCGTAACACATCTGCCTCAATTGCAACCCCACTTTTTTAGTTAATGTCCAAGTCACAAGGTTCTCAAGAGTTTCTTTTACATTTTTATTCTCATATAGAATATTCCTGCGGCCAGTCATGACAAGCATTTAGGGTTTGCCTGGGGTCCTGGTGATATCCTTGTGTATGAGACCCTGTACAAAGCATCAGGTCTGTATCAGTATCATTTGAATTGTCACTGTACACTTTCTATTTATCCATTTTTGTTGTCATTAATTTTACTTAGTTTTGTCCTTTTTGTCTTTTATCAGGGAGCAAAAGATCACCCTGTACCTTCATTCATGAGGTCAGGAAAGATGAAGACATATATTCTCCTATCTTACGTAAACTCTTCAATGAGTCACATCACATCTTTGTCGGACTGCAGACGATTGGAGAGGACCTCCCAAGCAAATCCAAAAAGCCACAGTAAATTTTCTCTCCATTGATTTCCAGTTTAGGGCAGCGTATTAGCCTTGTATATTACTTATATTTACTTACAAATAGATAAAACAAGCTTGGTATATCTCCCCAGGTTTGTTAGCGTCAGTAAAAACTACAGATCTGTGATACGAGCCTGTATGGAAGAACTCCAACAAGTTGCAGGTGAGATTTTTTTCAAATATAGTTCTGACATTTTTAGCTGTGAGTTTAGTTGGTTTATTCAGGGAGGTAAAATAAAATCTCTTTTTTTTCTCTAGTTTCAACAAAAGATTCAAAATTGGCCACAGAGTATGGGAATCAGGTATGAACCACTTTTATTTATATATTTGAAGAAATCTGCAAAGACGTAACCCTCCTGAGCTCTTTATTTTCTTCTGACACTTTCATAACATTAACATTCGGCACAGGTCTCCATTCTGTTGGCCATAGAGCTCATCTGGAATCTGTGTGAAGTGCTTTTCATTGATGCTGCTCCAGGTGATAATTTAAATTTGTTAATTTAAATTTTCTTACTTACTATTATTGTTGTTGTTGCTCAGTAATACATTTATGTGTGTCTTATTAGCTGGTTCCCTGTTGCTCCACCTTTTGGACTGGATTAGATTGCACAGGGCTGATGTGGACGAAAAGGCCAGAGATGTGCTTCAAAGCGAGAGCCCAGCTGAGCACTGCGACTACTGGGATGTGGTACGTACAGCACAGGACTAACTAACTGCAACAAATCTCCTTCAGTGTTTGTGTGTGTGAACTTACATATTTTGACGTTGCGTTTTGCAGGTAGTGAGTTATGTTTTACAGGGAAGGTTGGAAGAAGCGAGGCAGATGCTGGTAAAGCAGGCAATGCTGCATCCTGCGTCCAGAAACATGTACAAGCTGATGGACAGTCTGCTGAGCAAGATGCCCTTCTACAAGGTGAGTCCAGGTTTTAGTTGATTTTGTACCTAGGAAATAATTTCAATAAGCTACCTCCTTCCTTTATACTGCACAGATATCAGTTCTTTAGTTAAACAGTTGTTTAAATCTGAATTGTCGATGATATGGTCCTTAAGCCGGGTGGAACGCAGCCGTTAGCAGAGTTTGATGTGAAGTGGAGACACTGGCATGACGAGGTGGACCGCTGCCTACAGGATGGGTCATTTGCCAGCAACCAGCACCTGGAGCTCATTTGCAAGGTGGATGTTTTAATCCAATATCCATTTATGCTTAAATGCAACCTGACTAGTCAGTATGACAATATGACAGCACTTTCTTTCCCCTATTCTAACACAAATTGTCCTTCATTGTGTTCATGATTGTCTCAGATTTTAGTGGGAGATGAAGACACTTTACTCACACAGAAGGAACTGCTGAGCACCTGGTATCATTTCCTGGTGACGAGACTGCTGTTCTGCCACCCGACAGTTAAAGCCACAGAGTTACACTTCTATGCACAGGTAGCCCACATTTGTAGCTTCTGTCACCCCAATGGTCACTGTCTGTTTTGTATCCTCCTTATTTAATTACATGTGTTTGTGTGTCCTTTCATACTTCAGTCATGTTTGACCATGTTCCTGGACCCACGCAGCACGCCAGAACCTCTGGACAGCATCCTGCTGGCCGCATTTGAGATCGATATTCACCAGGTCATTAAGGATTGCAGGTACGACACAGAGGTCTGTGGTGAGGATACGAGATGCAACATAATATTGCACTGAAATTTGAAAAAAAAAAAATCAGCATTTCTCCCCTCTACCTTCGTTTTCCTCTAGCATTGCTCTCAACAACTGGTGGTTTGTGGCCCATATCACAGATCTGCTGGATCACTGTAAACTCCTTAAGTCTCATAATCTACAGTAAGCTCTCTGATGTGCTTTATTTGTCTTAGATACATTGTATTCATTGGAAACAGCATTGACCAGAGATTCTATTTTGTTACAGTTTTGGTTCAAACCTAAGAGAGTTTCTCCTGTTGGAATATGCGTCTGGGCTCTTCACTCACCACAGGTAAGATGATGAGAAGCGTTGGGTAGAAAGTCTGGGGTGAATTGTTTTTGCTTTAAAATGGATTGTTGCGTGCATGTATGTGTGCGTGAAGTTTGTGGCAGTTGGCCGTGGATTACTTTGACCACTGTTCAGAGTTTGGCCGTGTTTACCTGGAGCTGCTCATCGAACGCGTTCCTTTGGACACGGAGAGAAAAGCCCTGAAGGTGCTGAGGATCTGTGAGCAGAGGCAAATGTCAGAGCAAGGTACAGAAGCTTCCTCTGTTTGCATCCAAACAGAGAAGTCAAATAATGCTTTTTGGTTCACTGTAATGGGAGACCTTTGACCTTCACGTGTTTGTCTCTCCTCAGTGCGCAGTATCTGTAAGATCATGGCCATGAGGACTCTGAGGAACAACAGGCTGGGCTCTGCTCTGTCCTGGAGCATCAGAGCCAAGGATGCTGCTTTGGCCACTCTCATCTCAGAGAGGTCAGTGTCTGGAGCTTCACTAAGATTCTTTTTTAGTTGGCGATTAAAGTATAGTGACTGTTTACATGTCAGTTCCATTGTTAATATTTTAACTTTTTATTATGTACAACATAGTTTAATTGACCCTGAAGATACAGGAATGTTTTCTATCCAGTTTTTACCTCTCTCACTCTGTTACACACTCACACTGTTGCAAGAGGTCGCACAGCGTGTTGACTGTTGCTACTGTCTGTTGCTACAACATATGCATCACAGACAGGCGGTAAAACAGACAGTCAGCTGTGATACGTTGTTCCTCTGGAGTGTGTTGATTACAGCCTGACCACACACACTTAACAAAGTCAGGCAAACAACATGGTACAAACACTACCTTTCAATTAGTTTACAAGTGTCTGTGTGTTGGTCAGATTCCTTCAGGATTACTGTGAGAGAGGAACATTCTCTGACCTGGACCTGATCGACAACCTGGGCTCAGCGATGCTGCTCAGTGACAGACTGACTTTCCTAGGTATGGAAAAGTAGAGAGAGTTATAAATATCATTTTAGGGCGACAGTACATATTATAAATCCCGCTATGCATTGATGTACTGTTAAAAACTGCAATATATACTGTATATTGCCACACTCAAGTATTGACTGTACTGTGCTGTTCTTCTATTTCCAGGAAAGTACAGGGAGTTCCATAAGCTGTATGGAGAGAAGCGCTTTCGAGAAGCGGCCACGCTGCTCCTCTCCCTCATGACGGCCAAGATTGCCCCCCGCAGCTTCTGGATGACCCTGCTGACTGATGCCCTGCCACTACTGGAGCAAAAAGAGGTCGGCCATCATAAGATGATTCACATTGACATTGATTAACTCACTCAGCTTTGCTGGGATTTAGTTTTAGTCATTATGAAACCTTACCGAAAATCCTATAGAAATTAGTACAGTACTTTTCAAATACTGATGTGGACAACGCAGCAGAAGTAAAAGATTGTTCTGCAGTCTGTTTTAATAACATGTTGGGGTTTTTTTCAAAGGTCATCTTCACAGCAAACCAAACTTATGAGCTGATGTACTGTTTAGAGGAGCTGACGTCTTCACTCAACACCACAGCTCCCAGTAAAGACAAACCCATGCAGGTAGGCATTACAAATGAGCCCTCGCTCATGTATTTTCAAAGGCCTTTTATTACAGTTACCTAGTGATCAGTCAATGTCAATAATACACAAAAACAATAAAATCAACAATAAAAACATACACTTTTTGCTTTATCCTGGTAGTTAGCTCTCGTCCATCACTGTTTACCAAACTAATTTTGCGGTGATGCCTCTGACTATGAAAGGTTCTGTAAATTGGTTCACCTCTGATGTGTGTGTTTGTTTTCTCTTCAGGAGGACGAAGTGGAGAAAACCAAGGTGGAGCTGCTGAGACTAGCCATGGCCAGAAACCTGGCGATCGCCATCGTTAAAGAGGGAACAGTGGAGACCTGAGTGATGACGTCGCCACGGAAAATGCCATCTTTTGCTTTTTTTTTTGTACTGTAAATAAAACTCCAGTGATTAAAATGTCTTTGATAATAAAATGTTTCATGATTTCATTACCTGGTTGAGGTAAATTTGTCCGGCAGGAAAAAATCAGCTCAGAAAGTCAAGCTACCAGTGAAAGAAATTTATTTTTAATCATGCAGTGAAGAAACGGCACCATACAGTATGTACAAACCTGACACTCCCAAAATCTACGTCACATGTCCACATACAACAAAGACACATTACACACTTCTGTACTAAAAAACACTCCTTTACGTTCCATATGGGATGTGATGGTTTGATAGTTTGGCCTGACAGAACAATCCTTCCTAAACGCAACTCTTGAACTAGTTTGCTTCACATTTTCCAGTTTCAGTGATGCACTGAAATTGCACAGAAAACAATCGTGTATCCTCCGAATACTGAGGTGGTAAATGTCCTTAAATACATCACAGACACAGAAGAGCTGCTAAAGTATAACCCAGATAACAAGAAATAAAGGTCACTTTAAAGAAAAGCCTACACTCACTATACTCAGAAACAAAAGAGTATTTGTCAATAAAATCAAACACTGTGCTGCTGTTTAAACATCGATGGTCCACTTCTATAACACAGGGTAACTTGAGATGAGAATTTACTAAAATAAATGTTTAGAAAATAATGTCACATCAACCATCCATCGTCCTACGTTAGTGGATGTCTATTGTTTATACATTCCAGTGTAACTGCATTCTAGAAATCCACTATTTCAAGTATATATTATCATTGTTTCAAGTATACCAAGTGCAGCCTGGTTGGTGTTATCAGTAAGAAGTAAATAAAAGCACAGACTTCATTTGTTTAGACCGTTTACAGTATGTAGAGGCTCAGTAGTTTTTTTTCATTTAAATCAAATATTTGTTCTGCTGCAGAGCAACAACAAAGTGTTTTAAGTGAAGCAAACTTAGTGAAACTTGTATTTTTCTCATGTCCATGTCATTTCATCTTCTTTGGGGTTTCATGGCAGCAGGTGTCAGTTATGTTGTGACACTGGCCTCCTCACAACTTAATAACTTGATTTAAATCTATGCTGAACAATAGTTATTCATGACACCAACGTAAATTCAAAACATGAAGGTAAAGGACATGTCGCTGAGCTTTTTACTTTCTCATCAACTTGACTCTACAAGCTCTTCATAAAACAAACCAGGAACAAAACTGGTGGTCTGTTAACATCTTACAAGTGTAAAACAATGGCCAGAAAATGGTAATGTTATTTAGAGAATGTGAAGCTGTGGACCTGTTACTTCTCTCTGGGATGTACTTGACTTCACACACACCCCTTCATGGAGTTAAGACCTTCCGCCGATCTGTCCTTCAAGACCTTCATGCTGCTATAGATGACCCCACATCTCTGGTGGAGGGAACTGGTCGACCTCTCCGATCTCATTGCACAAATGGTCTCCGAGTGTAAACGCCAGCTTGTAGCGCAGACGCACTTTTTCCTGTAAAGACACACACACACACACACACACAGATGTTTGTTTGCATCTTTATCATCTGGTCACGATGTCTCAGGACAAGAGAAGTTGTGTTGAGAACTAAATCATGCATACAGCAGTTAAAAAGGAATGTGTTCCACTAAAAGACAAAAATATTCAAAAAATGCATTCAAAATAGTTTAATTAAATTACCGTGGTTTAATGAGCCAATGAGCTCTGCTCACATAAGAGCATAATGACCAAGCATTTTCTCTGATGATTTGTGACTTTGCTTTTATATAAAAAAAATTCCTAGAAATGCAGGGTTTGGCAGTGGTCTGGAAGAGGCCCAGAGATTCTCTCTTTGTTGATGAGGTCACGTACCTTTGCTGGATTTGCCAACAACATGATCTGGGTGATGGAGGATGGAGGGAGGATGGGATTGAACGGTGCCAGTTCTGCTCCTGATGGGGGCTGCAGCTTCACCTTCATCGTCTGGTGTAAAGTTGAGAGACTGAGTGAGTACTTCTATATTTGTGTGCCTTTACTTAAAGATGGCTCTGGCCATTTCTATGTCGCAGTGATTTTTAAAACATCTCTGAGGATGTGTTAAAGTAACAAAATGTATGTTTGAAAAAAACTTGAGCTCCACGTGAGATGAGTGAATACACATACTTGTATTCAAATATGTGTTAGCATTTTAGTAAAACTTTCTGGATGCGACTATAGAATTTTTTTTGAAAACATTCTGGATTTAGAGTTTGGATCCAAGACACTTTAACCATCTTAACTAAACTAACAAAAAGTGAATTTTAAGGCTAACGTACAGATAATAACTTTTTTTTAATGTACTTGATTATTGCAGCCAGACTCCAATTTATCATCTTTATGAAGTTTTGAACAATATATGACAGCTCTTCACTAGGACTGACAAAATAGGGTTGCTGTGGACAACAATCACAATCAAGTCCAGGAGGTGCATGTCTACCTTGGGTACAGCAGCTTGCAGTAACACATTGTGAACAGGGAGAGGCGCTGTATTTAACATGGACACCACCATCACAAGCACATCGGGCCTGCCCGGGGGACAGTTAGAGGCGAAGTTGATCAGAACACGAACGCCATCCTTGTCATAGGCCGTCACTGGCAGGACTTTACCTGAGGACAGGGTGAAGACATTAAACACACACCACTTCACAGTTATTTACTCAGCTCCTCCATCTCTCTGTCCTTACTCGGTCTGATGGACTCCAGAGGGACGTGAACGTTGCTCAGTGAGACGTCTGCTGCTCTTGCTGGGCTGCCCTGTGGTGGAGGGTGGGAGGGAGAGAGCGAGTGGAAAAGTGGGCTGCCTGGAGCTGAGCCCAGACTCTGGACTGTAGGGTGGGACAGGGCAGGAGAACCAGGCATCATACCCTGAAGAGCAGCTGCAGAAGAGGAGGCCTGTCCTGGTATGTGAGGAGGTGCCACAGCAGGAGTTACTCCTAAGTTGCCTCCTCTGGGTGTCATCTGATTGGACAACCTGAAGATGGACGTCACAAATTCTATCACATCTCTCCATAAAGGCACCACATTTGTTTTTTAATCAAACGCTAAAAGGAAAATACTGTACATCTTATGATCTAATGAAAACCCTAACATGGCCAAGTCCTGCAGGTTCTGAAGACTCTGCAGGTTGGATGATGGTTCGCTCTGAGACGCCACCGGAGCCGATGAAGCAACACTGCCAAACATGGCGACGTTTGATGGTACAGCCTGCAGAAAGACACCACAACTCATCGCCTGTGTTTACAAACATAACAGTCTCTGGTGTGTAGTTTACTGTGATTTCACAAACCTTCTGAAGGACGTACAGTGAGTCCCACTGATTGGACACTTCGATTAATGTTGGCTTTGATTGGCTGCTCACAGACGCAGGGGGTTCGTTTAGTCCTGCAAACCAAAGAGTGTCAAGAGCTTTTAAATGCTCTTATTCAAACATATGTCTCTGTTATTAATGGACATGGCACATTTTACAATTGTATTATGCTCAGGAACATTTGATCCAATGAGTAAAACAAAACCTGTTTGTCCTTTAAATAAAATCAAAATATCATTACAAGTGCAATGCAGCATGATCTGAATGAACAGCTCTGAATATGAAAAAAAACATTTTAGATAAATACTGGTGATTATGGTTCTGATAATGACCAGAACCACGTCAGTGTAATGTATCGACTGTGGATTAATACCCAAGGAGAGCAGCTCGTCATCGAGGAGCGATAGAGAAGTGGAGGCCTGGCCCAGTGGAGGATGACTCGGGCTGCTGCTCTGACTGCCATGAGAGCTGGTCAGGTGTTTGGGAGGAGGAGGAAGGAAAGGTATGGGGGAGCCTGTGCCATTGGTGGAGAAAGGATGCGAGGGATCAGAGGGTGGGAGGATGGGCTGAGGAGGGCTCGGAGCGTCGAGGTCAGTGAGGTCGATTAAAGTGTCCGTGGTCTCTGGAGAGTGGCAGAAAGAAATGAAACCGTGGAAACAATCAAACCTTCTGCAAGAAAGGTTTATGTTTTTACTTTTAAAGAACATCTCTCACCGCTCTCAACTGCAGCAGTCGTAGATTGAGGTTCTTCATTGTAACTGTTGATTGGCAGTCCCTCCACAATGTTCTTATAAGAGTTGATGACCCTGGAGAGATCATCACTGGCCTGGAGGATGTCACCTGGACAGCAGATGTGCAGAGTTTTAGAGGAGACACACATATTCCTTTATGAACTCCCGGGAGGAGTTAGCCATTTCCACAGGACACCTTTGATGGGTTTTAAATCGCATTCAATATCTATACTCTTAAATTTGTTATTTTAAACAACAAACCTAAACAGGTGTCATTGTCCTCTGTCTCAGTGGCCATTTTGAAGGCAGCACGTCTTAGCTTATCACACCGTTCATACAGTTCCTGAGGTGAAACACAAAGAATAATAGAGTACACAATCACACAAATTGTCTTTCAAGGCATACATTAGCAAGCTCTAGTGGTGAAGACATGGTATGGTTGAATAATTTTTACTTCATTGTTTCAATCTAATACAAAAACACAGGGATTCAAAATGGATATTTCTGGATTATCCGTCTTATCTTGTATCGTGCTGAATCATATTTTAACCTATCATGTCATCATCATACACACCTTGATGATTTCCTTGTCAGAGTCAGTGGAGCTGTCTTTGTTGTAGTGAGACAACATCTCCGTCAGTAGCTTCACGTTGATGGTGACCTCCTCCAGTGTATGCACACGTTTAGTCAACTTCTGCACTCGGGCCTCATCCTGTGAGGCATAATTAACAGAAGGTAAAAACTACTCTGCTGAAATTCCGCAGGTTACAGTTATCAGCGTTCTGTTCTGACCTCTTTCACCATATTCTTTATTAGTCTGTTGGCTTCCTGCAGGTCTTCTGGATTTTTACTCCTGAGAAGCTCAGCAAGCAGCTGAACCAGAACACAAATACAAAAGTGACTTCAATTAAAGGAGGAATGTATTAGCTATGTGTAGAATGATGATTTTGACAAACTTGGACAAGAGTTATTCATTATTTTCTCTGATTTCCTCACCTTCCCCATGTCCTCGTTGTCAAATACTGGATGCTTAGGACGAGTTGGAGGTGAGGGAATTAACGTCATGTCCAGCGGTAACTCTGGATCTTGTGTCACTAAACCTACAAGAGGAATGCATTTTGGGTTAATTATGAGAATTAATATGAGATTATTATGAGAATGCTCTTCACGCCCACCTTGTCTTTTGAGTGTTTGATACGCTTCATTGATTTTGGCTTCATTGGGAAAAGCAACAGTCCAGCTGTATAACATTTCTACAATCTTCATCTTCACTTTCTCAGGTGTACTGTCACCCATATACTAAAACCAAACAGCCAGACATTAGTGAATAAAAAAACCCATTAGAATTCTTTCTATGGAGCATAAAGCCTAGGTGTACATTGGAAATGCTTACCTTGGGAGACACGACTTTAATCAGCTCATTCAAAAACCTGTATTTTCCAACTTCATTATGAAACCGTCTCCCACAGTTCTTCATGCAGGCTTCCAGCACCTATTTGAGATAATAATATCATAGATGTTTAAGTGGAAGAAATGAGAAAGACTGACTTAAAAACAGGACATGTCTCACTGTCAGCGCCTGGAGAGCCTCCCATTCTTGGGGTGACTGTATTTTGTGGACGAGCAGTGTTACAGCAATCTGAGGACTGAAAGAGCAAAACTGCATTGGATTAAAAGAACAGACTTGTTGACATTAACAAAAAACATTTCTTCGAGTATTTGACAGACATACCCTTCCAGTTCTTTGTTGATCTGATCACAGAAGCCTATGATGTACTCCCAGTCCTCCTGTCTGTTGGTTGGATGGGTGGCTTTATCTGAAGCAGAGTTACAAACACAATGATTACTGTAATGCAACTTCTGTTTCTTTCTTAAATATAAGGAGGTGATGCTTCATTTAAAGACAAACCCATTGTAAAGATATATAAGGAGGTGATGCTTCATTTAAAGGTATTTTTTTTTTAAAGACAAACCCATTGTAAAGACTTAAAAGGCAACCATTAATGAGAATATTTAGCACAGGTTGTCTGACTATATTTTTTAATTTTGAAAATACAAATGAGAATATTTAGCACAGGTTGTCTGGCTATATTTTTTAATTTTGAAAATACACTTATTTTATTTTATTTATTTTATTATTATTATCTTATTGTAGAAACAAATCAATATTCAACAACAACATGTCATTCAATTCATAAAAGCCCCAGATGTCAACCACAAAAGATGTTCTTCTGTAGAAACAAATCAATATTCAACAACATGTCATTCAATTTGTCATTTGGTTCATAAAAGCCCCAGATGTCAATCACAAAAGATGTTCTTGTTTTGGGTCAGACTTGTTTGTTTGGTTCCACAAAGTTTCAAGTTTGTGGTTTACCTTGGAGGGACTTACAGCCTATTCTGTCGACAGCTGCATACCAGAAGTGGGCCACCAAAGACTTCCTAATTATTGGTGTTGTTGAGGCATGAAGTGAGAATATGAAATCAGTTGAGAATGTATACGCAAAATCAGTACGTTAAATGTGTAGAACACCTGAGTAATTGTAATCAGTCTCAGATTAACAACATTATCTGGGACTGAACTCAGAGTATCTATTGTATCACTGAGCCTCGTCGCGACCATTACAATGCAGTAATTGTTACCACAACGTTAACACACAATTGTGAAGTTCGTTGTGTTTTGTGAAGCTCATTTACTATCAAACAGACCAGTGTGATTGTGTCCTGCAGAAATATGAGTGTGTGTTGAGGAACAGCTGTCTGCACCCAGTTCCCTGTCACTGCTGTCTGCCATCAGTGTGTTATTAAAGCTCTCCACCCATCCAGCTAATTCCCGCTGCAAACATTAGACTGACAGCGTCCGCCAGCGGCCGGGTGGCGGATGACAGCCTTCATACGCTGAGACACACTACTCTGTCGTCCATAAAAACGTCATATTGCCATTTCCACAAAATATTTACTTCATAAAATGGGATTAAACACTCACTGAGCCAGGATTCAAGCGACTCCCCTTCCTGGTACGCCATAGCACTTCAAAACATCGCGTGATGTCAGCTACGTATGCGCGAGAGACTGAAAGGAATGCTTGGAATCATTTTAACAACAGCGTACATTATATTAAATTTTAAACACATAAAGCTACATGCTTATATAATTTTATTTTTTCAACTGTAGACACAGTTTTTTTTATCTTATTTTCTGTTCTATTGTCTTATTTTTTTTAAGCAGGCATCGTGAGAAGCTGCAAAGCCTGGGGTCCTACATGACACTCACATTGTAAAGATGGCGGCCTCTATATCGGGACTACTGAAACCCTGGTTACCAAGGTTGGAAATTTACCTGTTCGACAGATGTATATATACATTTTTCTTATAAATAAGTGGGTTTAGTGGCGCACTGTTCCCGCCTCAAAGCAATAACGTGCGATGTAATCGATCTAAGTTGAACAAAGCAATTTCCTGTTGCACATGTAAGATGTCGATATGAAGTTGAATATATGTTAAGATTGAAGACAGACATTCAAATATTATAATCCCAAAAACAATGCTAACAGACTTGACTTAAATCGAAGCTTGAAACAAATACATTTTTAATACTAATAATTCTGTGTCACCCTTTACATGCAGGGTGTTCCTGGTCAGGTGGAGCAGGTATAATCCCTATTATCTGGATCCAGAAGTCAGGAAGGATGTGTACAGCAAAACAGAGACAGAGCTGACAGCTGAGGAGAAAGAGCAGCAGCAGCTTAAAGCAATCAGACCCATCAAGGCAGCGACCAATTCAGTCACCAGCTCAGTTTTTGACGACCCAGTTCTAAGGTAAAACCTAGGCGTCAGCAGATCATTGCGCTTAACGTGTTTGTTCAAAACTGAACCTGTTTTTTGCTTTTCAGTAAATTCATCAATATGATGATGAAAAATGGGAACAAGATTCTGGCGAGAGAGATTATGACACAAGTAAACAAAACACACAAAAAACACAATAATATAGACAATTATCTATTTCTATTTCTAAGGGCAAAATGAAACAGTAAGTATATTTTTTCCAGACCCTAGAGGAGATGAAGAGGAAACAGGTGGAGAAATACCACAAGGCTGCTGAGGGGAAGAAGGAGGAGATCGAGTGTAACCCGTACACCATCTTTCACCAAGCTCTGGAGAATTGTAAGCCAGTTGTTGGAGTGATCAGTTTAAAAAAAGGTGGAAGGTATTATCAGGTCAGTGATTTAACAATTTAACCAGGTTACGCTGGTTAAATTAAAGCTTTAAACAAAATAAAACGTCAATGCAATGACATTAAATCCTTTGGTGTTCTCCTCTCAGGTTCCTACCCCGCTGTCAGACAACCGGCGTCGCTTCCTGGCTATGAAGTGGCTGCTCACGGAGTGCAGGGACAACAAACACAGACGCACACAAATGCATGAAAAGCTTTCCCAGGAACTGATGGCAGCTTACATCATGGAGGGCAACGCCATCAAGAAGAAACATGAGATGCATAAGGTTGCTGAAGCCAACAGAGCCTTCGCCCACTTTCGCTGGTGGTAGAAATGCATTCCTTAAGACTGAAAATACAGTCACGGGACACCTGAAGACAATGGATCTTAAAACCTGACTGTAAATAGTTAATACCGTGTACATCTTTTGGTGGAAGGATTGCGGACCGGACAATGCACCACACATGGACTATTGTTGAAGAATTTGCTTGGAAAAACTGGGGCGTGTAGAAAAGACACTTTTGTTGTTTTGATGAAAGACATGAGACTGAAACAGGATCAAGTTCCAGAGATTTATTACAACACGTATTTGCATTCAATGTAAAAACAACCACAAATAAAGGAAATTAATGATATAACAATGTTCCAACTAAGTAATAAAAAGAAGGATCCTGTTGTATGTTGCAGTCATTACTGTTTCCTGTCATTAAGACTTCAAATTGTCAACAACCATCACACTTAACTTCTCCTTTGGTCAGTTGTGGTCAAAATCTAATTTCAACCTTTAAGTGGAAATGGTTTAATACACACCAAGTCTAAACACAATCATGTTGGTCAATGTTTCCCTACTGTTCTCCTACTGTAAGAACTTGATTGTTTTGTTGTTGTTTTTTGATTGTTTGACTGCTCTAAAAAATACAATATGTACTAAGCTTCTCTTATTTACATTAAACTCCCCACTCCTTTTCTAATATGTTGCATGTCTTTCGCTTGTGTCTGATGTCAAGGCACAGCTTTGGTTGAGGATCTCTGTCGTTGGTGAGGACATTGAATTGAAAGGATGTCAAGAGTTCAAAGTAATGGCTACATTTGTGTCACAAGTGCTGGTGGAATCTGAATCATCTTTCTACTCATGACCTGTTTAAATGTAAACGAAGAAAAATAGCTGCTGCTTTAGCACCTCAACTACAACTGAAGAGTCTGCTCCCATCAACCAAGGCTGTAAAACCAGGAAACACTGTTGTACTGTGACTTCAGTCTCAAACTTTTAAATGCAGGCAAAAACATTACAGTTAAATTAATTCTCAGTTGTGTCATTTTTATTGGGCCACCAAAAAGAATACCAGCTACCATTAGAACTTGAAGAAGTGTACTGGGAGGACTGGGATCAATTAAGTAATGTATTTTAAATCAAGCATTTTTGTAGTTTTGGTGTAAATAACACTTACATTTGGTTTTCACTCAGTTGAAGGAGCACACTTATAGAATTAGATTTATATTAAAGCAATAATGTGGCAGCAACAAATTCAGACTTTGTTCATAGCACCACCTATAGGGGAGGGAATGGTAAATACAGTTATGAGTTTAGACAGAAACATTAATATAATTGTATATTTTTTAAATGGTTTGTTTCTGGGTTTTACTGCAGCTGATGAGAGCACACTTATTAGTTTATGTTATGAATGAATCATGTGCTATTTTAAAATAATAAGTTAATAATGACTTAAGTTGAAAGAAAAACTAAAGATCCCTGAATTCAGATGTGTAGCAAAGTGATAAAATGCTCCAGGGAGAGTTGAAAAACTGCAGAACTGCCATTTAAATGGCACAAATTATACACCTAAAATTCACTCAATAAAAATATTGTATCAAATAATCATTGGTCACAAAATAAAAAGTTAAAGCAAAGACCATGTCAGCTTCTATCTGACTGGAATGTCTCTTTAAATTCTCTTTACATTATGTGATAATGAATGTCAGAAATGAACAGGAATGTCAAAAAATTAAAATAAAACCACACGCTACTTTTACAACTTCAAAACAATCCTGTTTGTACCTGAATGTGGCAAAACCTCGTTAACTATTGAACTATTGCACATCCCACATCCACGGCACGTCTCAGTAATATCATCAAAGTCATGTAAGATTCCAGCAAAATGTTAGTCTTTGTACGAAAACTCCACTGACGACTGGTGACAGACATCAGTATCTGTCTGTCTTTCAGGTATTTGCTGGTTTTAAACTCAGTGGCACTTTTAACACAACTGCAAACAGAGGTTCTCGCCACCATCAAGCTGTCTGTCTTAGTCCGCAATTTCACTGTAGTAGTACTTGTGGGCGGTGGTACTTAGTATCCAGCCGCCAGCCCTGAACTCCAGGATCTCCAGCAGCAGCAGACGAGCCATGGAAGTGAGGCCCTCCTGGAGCAGGAAGCCATCACGCAGCAGGAAGAAGAGATCGTCCATGCGCTGGCTGTTCATCATCTCCAGCTGTTCACCAATGCGATGCAGCTGCAGCACCAGACAGTCCACCTGCAGGAGGAAGGTGGAGACGACGGCTCATATTGGTGAGGCTGGTCCAACACAAGCCTGATGTCAGAATTAGAAGCCGCCTCAAACACAGGCTGGGCTTTGAGATGGTATTTTAAGATTGTTGAAATGATTATGTTTCATAACATAACACAATCTTTTTTGAGCCAGGGCTCATATACAGTATATCATCAGAAGTCCACGGCACACCACCACACAAAAAACTCACAAAACGTACATGTAATAAAATATAATAAATAAAAATAAATAATCTTCTAGATTAAATGACCTCATAATTGACTAAAATCTTGGCCTGTTTACAACATTGATATACTGGCCAATTAAGTGAAATTGGATAATTTTCCACGGCACACCTAACAATCTCTCACAGCAAACTAGTGTGCCACAACGCAGTGGTTGGGAATCACTGCTCTATAACATGCTGTCAAAATCAGATTCTGAGCATTGAGGCTGTCAATGAGTGTGGACAAAAAATATTCTTTGGCAGGCAGTAGATAATTGAGTAGATAAGAGTTTTAGCAGTACAATGGAACGTGTATCTCATTTTACAAAATAACCACGTCCAACCACGGGAACTGGTTGGACTTGATTTTTGACCTTTAATTGTTGGGCTTATAAATGCATGATTAACATTAGCTTTCTAGAGATGAAAAAACATATTTATCATGTTGGTTCAAATACACAGAGAGCATTTCAATATCTAAATAGCACAGACACATTTACGGTTCATTGTCATGTAACATTTATGACATGAATGTAAAACAAAAACAACAGATGATGACCCACAAAAAAAAAACCAAAAAAAAAAAACCAATGACTCACCTCCTCCTCATTTAATAAAGCATCAGGTTTGGCCAATCTCATCAGACAGTCGTACACAGGATTGACCAAGGCTACCATCGGCATGTTGTTCACCTTTATGTCAAGCATAACAGACAGGTTAAAACAGCTGAGTCCGACTTATCTTCATTACAGTTAAACCAATTGTCGCTCTCACTTTGAGGTAGTCGAAGATGTTACAGATGAAGGTGACGTAGCAAACCCACTCCTGCAGAGAGCGCCCCCTGGTCTCTTCACGGACTTTGAACTCCTGCTGCAGTCGGGTTTCTCCTGAAGACATTTCCATTGTTTTGCTTGGCTTCAGCCTGAACAACACAGCCAAGCAGGAGAGAGATGAACAGGGTTCAGGTGATACAGGCATAATACAAGGGTGTTGATAATACAATGATTTCCTGACTTAAGTAGATTTAGTAATGTGACTGAGCCTTAGCCAGAAAGGCTGACATTAAAATTAAAAGTGAGATGTGTCTCAGTTATTCCTGTGAATTTCCTTTCATTATTACAGACCTGGACTATGGTGTAGCAGATGCGCCCAGCCTCTTTGCTGAAAATCTGGTCTTTTAACGACTGGTCCACAATGATGTGGGAAACTTTTTCCAGGTTCACCGCACTAGGATCTGGAGAACAGAAGAAAGTTGTTAAAATAATTAAATACTTACACCGGTATTGTCGTTTAATTCAGAATGTACTTCGTTCCATTCAAATATCATTCAAATATTCACATTTGCATATAAGTCATAATAAGTTAGATAATACCAAAAATATTGAAGACTAAAGTGATGAGAATAATCACAGAAAAACGACTGTTTAAAACTACGAATTCAATCAAAAGTTTATTATCTCCATGTATCGAGAGCTGTTAAGCACGACCTTTTACCGCTGTCTCCTGTGTGTCCAGATCAAGCGACTGGATCCTGTAGTCATCAGAGGAGTTCTCCATTGTTGACTTTTGGTCCTTGACGTACACCTGAGTTATTAGATCCAACAACACGTTCAAAAATAGTTTGCGAGGTTTCCAACACAAAGCACAATCATAACTGACTTTCTGATGTCACCTGATAAAAACAGTTGTAAATCCACTTGAATGGCTTCACATAGGAACAACACTACATTGGCAAACTGAGGACGTTAGTAGTTATAACTCTGACTAACTACATATAGCTATAGGCTTTGCCTTAACTAGTTTTAATTAATGACATTAGCGGCTGAGCACCTTGTCGACACAAACGTGAAACGAACGACTTTTTAACGTTGGAACAAATTAGCGTCCCGTCGCACCTAAACCGCCGTTCTACGTAAGAACAGCTATTCAAACAAGGAACAATAACGTAAATACAAAGTATAAACAATGAAGCATTTACTGTGAGGACAAAGTGTAAACTTTTTACCCGTTTAGCTACAATTCTTTTCAAATTTACACTGGTCTCCTCCAGTGGATGTGGACGACATCCGACGCTACACTGCCCTCCAAAGATTAGAACAGTCACGGCAAGATGAATCTCACGAACAAGAAGAAAAGATTGTGAGATATATATATATATATGTATTATATGTTTATTTTTGTATGCTTATATGTGTTTCTTCATTGATATGTGCTTTCTAAGCAATATTGAAAAAGCCGCTTGTTGTGTATTGCTTTCCTTGGAATTATTGATGGCGGGAGGGAAACATCTTGTCAAAATAGTTTTTCCTTTGATAGCCTAGTCTACTAGCCCGACCCGGAAGTAAAACCCATAGTGCACGCATTTGAGCTGAAATGTCTTTTATTTGACACGTTCTAGTTCAGTTGTCGAAATTGATCGCCGGGATAGAGTTTTATTCATGACGGATATATGTTCTAAGGTAAATCTTTATCCTCTCTGTCAATGTCACTATCATTAAGTAATAAAGCTTGTCTGAAGGTCCTGAACTGCACTGTGCTGCATGTCCTCTACTTGCTGTCTTTGCTATTATTTACAGCTATCATTGAATTTGTATAAGTTGTAATGTATCATATATGTCAACAGTCATTTTTCCCTTTTTTGTGTTGACCGAGCGAGGATACTATCAACAGATATGTATTTACAATATATACAGTGAACTCGAAAAATGCAGCTGGTTTTTAATTGAAAAACACTTGCATATGTAAAGAGGTCAGTGATTGTGAACAACGGTGCTAAAAGTTTTTCATTATTGTTGTCTTGTAGTGTTGACAGAATCCTGAGGTGGTGGGAACATGGTGGGCTATGACCCTGGCTCTCAGGGTGCAGCTCTATCTCCAGAGGAAGCGGCTCTGGCTGGGTCAGCCGCTGGGATGGTCACCCGAGCCCTTATCAGCCCATTCGATGTCCTTAAAATTAGATTTCAGGTAATTAATGTTACTTTGTTATTTTGTATGAGGAAAACATTTTGACTGTAGCTTTTGCATCATCAGTAATGGCAAATATAAATAACAGTTGGTATTTTTGTCCTCTCCACCAGTTGCAGATTGAAAAAGTTTCTTTCTTTAGGAAGGAGGGGAAGTACTGGGGATTATTTCAAGCCTCCCGCTGCATTCACTCAGAGGAGGGTCTCTCTGCTTTCTGGAAGGGCCATGTCCCTGCTCAGCTGCTCTCTATTACCTTTGGTGCTGTCCAGGTAAAAAGTCCAGCTTTGCTCAGGCCACATGAACATGCAGGACTGCCTCTTTTTTTCAACATATACTGTATGCCTTTGCTTATATGCACTTTTTTTTAGTTTGCCAGTTTTGAGTTTCTGACAGAGGCGGTGCACAAATCCACTCCATATGACAGCCAAACAGCAGGAGTTCATTTCGTATGTGGCGGTTTGGCAGCCTGCTCTGCCACAGTGGTGTGCCAACCTCTGGACACGCTGAGGACACGCTTCGCAGCTCAGGGAGAACCCAAGGTGAGAGCTGCCACGGCTGAAGTCCTAGAGCTGGCAGGAAGTCTGTCTGTGAGCAGTGGAGACTCTTTGAGGGCAACTCAAAGTCATTGTTGTTTAAGACTCAGTTAAGTCTGTGTAAGCCAAATTCAAGTTGATGCCCTGATGTTTAAAGTAAGCAATGTGACTTTGATTGAAAAAGTGAAGAGGGTGGAGACTGGTCTAGAAGGATTTGTATTTATTTAGCTCTTTTGTTTTGATCCAATTTTCCCAAAGTATCTTTGTAAAGAAAATGTCACATAATCAGTCAACAATATTTACATCAGTGATTTATGTTTTGTCTCTCAGCTATACAGGAACTTTGGACACGCTGTGTCTTCGATGCTGTCCTCAGAGGGAGTCTTGGCTTTTTACCGTGGCCTGTCTCCAACACTCCTGGCTGTTTTCCCTTATGCTGGGATGCAGTTCTTTTTTTATAATGTCTTTAAAAATCTGTTGGCAACACCACCTAAATCTGGAAACTCTGGAGGTGAGAAAGTTTGCACCTGCACATTCCAGAATAAATCACCTGATCATACTGTGACTTTTAATGTCCTTCCCTTAAGGAAACCTGAGAAGCCTGGTGTGTGGAAGTGCAGCTGGAATGATCAGCAAAACAATCACTTATCCCTTTGACCTCTTCAAGAAGAGACTGCAGGTGGGAGGATTCGAAGCAGCTCGAGTTCACTTTGGACAGGTAAAAACAGGTTGGTTCTCAAATGGTTCAGCCTCAGATTATTACTGAGTCATTTACAATGTATACTACAGTGTAAGAATGTGGCCAGAAATAGCTGTAAAGCAATTTCAAATTTAGATTTTTTTCACACACATCTGTGTCCACAATGTAATTGTTCCATGCACCACTAATGGGTCTCAAGCCTCTATTTGGGAAACACTGCTTTTGAAAATAATGCACAAATGTGCACCTATTTCTGTGTCTAAATGGGAACTATGTGTGTCTGTTGTTATGAGCAGGTGCGCAGTTACAGTGGCCTGGTGGACTGTGCCGTTCAGATAGCCAAAGAAGAGGGCGTGCGAGGCTTCTTTAAAGGCCTCTATCCCAGCCTGGTGAAGGCTGCACTGTCAACAGGTTTCACCTTCTTTTGGTATGAGTTTTTTCTCAACGCCATGGAAAACAGGAAAGAGAGTGGGAACACTAAGTCTGTCATGAAAACCACAGAGGAAAGATAATGAAGTATATGTTCAACATAATCACGCACATCAGAAGAACATACACTGCTGTTTGGATGCACTGAAGAACTGCTGTTTAATGTTTGATTGACTTTATTCACAGGGAAAAGGGAGAAAATTATATTTTACTTATTTTTACTTTGTGCCTCATACACGCACTGTTTGTTTGAACTGAATGGATTTTAATATTTATTTGTGGTTTTTAAGGTTTAAGGCTCACAATGCTGGTTTTTCATTAAACATGTGGAAGTCGGTATTTTGTTTTGGTTTTATGTAAGGGAACATACAAATATCATGCTTGGTATGCATTTTATCTCAAATGCACTGTTATAGTATATTTACCTGTTATACAGATTATTGTGTGTTAATGCAACTTTGATGTCTTATTTTTGTAAATAAATATAAAACAATTTACAAAGATTGCATTTTGTGATTTTATTTGTTTGAGATTGTGCTTCATATGTTATAATATTAAGTTGCAAAACATATACCTCTTAGCGGGTTGTTGTGTAATATATATTAAAGGGTAAATTTTAGATGGAACATTTTTACAGGTACATTTTGGATAATGTTGGAATAACTGTGATACCTATGATTGAATTGTGTGGTGTAAAAACAAACTGCATTCTGGGCACACAGCTTGGAATAACACAAATTGTGTATTTAATGTAAATAAAAAACAGATAACAGATAACTTTAGACTCCTTAAGTTACCTAAGAGTCATTTTTAATGATAAAAATATGATAACATAACCTGTAAAATCACATTTTTCAGGAGAAACATAATTAACATAATTCCCAGTTATGAAATGTTAAATGTTAATGTGAAAGTGTAAAATCTTGAATTAACTCGCCATCCTTTAGAAAAAAAGGAAATCAATAATCTAATGGCACAAATCTCCCTGGTCCTGATATTGTGGAGTTACACAGAGCAGCCTTTTGATAAGGTTGTCATAAAAGCTGAATTGGATGCTTAAATGTTTCTTCCTTATATTCCATAGCTTTGTGTGAATATGCTGAAAACATGTTTAAAGCAGATGCTAATTTCCACCACTTAAAACACTCAGAACAATAGTAGGTACAACTGTATTTAATTAAATTCACTGAATACAAATTATTTAACAGCATGAATTTTAAAAAACAACATTTTTTTTACGAACCACATGACCAGCTGTGAAACTTCAGGTTCAACACAACGTCAAAGATGAGACTAAAAATATTGACCTGACAAATATTCAAAAGCAGCTAAAATCATGCAAATACACCCGTCGTTTACAGACACATTTGTCTAAGCTAATATATATCTGGCTGTGATAAATTAACACTTGAAGAATATTTTTTAATTTTCTCATTGCAGTAGCAGCAGCAGTAGCAGTAGCAGCAGCGACGTTACTGGATATGATATGATAGCAGCAGCAGTAGCAGTAGCAGCAGCAACGTTACTGGATATGAGATAGTGACATTTCCATGGTATTTATTGTTTATATACACAAGAAAACACAATGACCTCACAACTGAAGAATCCACTGTTAAAACATTGAGGGTGATTTTTTTTTTTTATAAGAACTGAATGTCAATACGCTGTCAGCATGGATACATATACAGTACTGTAAAGTTATTTTCAGTGGGTAAAAGCATCATGAACAGACTCTGACCTCAGTCTGACTAATTGGACATTCTCTCTAATTGTTTTTTGAGGTGGGGAGTAGGTGGTCTCCCCTAGATTTTTTTTCTATTCTCAATAAAAAACAACCTGTAAACCTGGACACTGGACAATGTTTTAGACTCTAAGATCATGCTGCCTGTCTGTACCTGTCTGTAAAGTTAGCTTCTAGCTGTTAGCTTTAGTGTGAACTCCTGCCAGTCTGCTGAGGCGACTGGGATCACCAGGACAGTCAGAAGTCTCCTTTACTTCAGCTGGCTGAGGGAGGCAGGGGATTACTGTGGTGTGTGCTCAACAGGCATCCTCCACAGGTCAAAGGTGTTTGTTCGTCACCAGTGGCACCACCCTGCTTTCATTCCGGCTGTGGGCTGGAGTTCCAGGAGAAAAAGCTGGGCAGTTTGAAGAGAGAATCTCTGCGTCCTGGATCTGGCAGCGTCAAGGTCTCTGGGGCAGATTTCTTCCTGGGACGATCTTTCGGCACTGCCAGGAAGTCGGGGGCTTCTGTGGTGAGCGGTGTGGACGGGGCACTGTTAGGGCCACCGCGGGTAGTAGAGGGCAGAGGGGTGTCAGAGATGGAGATGGCAGGGGGGAAGGAGCCAATCTTTAGGTTGGTGGCTTCCTGTGTGGCCCGCTCATACTCTCGTACCTCCTCCATGGTCATGTCTGTTGACATGAATGCATTGCACGATGAAAAAGCAAAGCAAAAACTAATTGTTTTTGTAAACGTGCATTGGAAATATTGGAAGGAATTACAGGAAGTGATACAAATAAAACCAAACGTGCGACACATAATCTACCTGCAATTATTATATATATATTATTGTAAAAGTCAAACTAGTTATTGGATGAGTCACAAACAAAACCACTGCTACAACATTCACTCAGAGACACTCACCGATCCACTCGTCCACCCAGGCAAAGGCCTGTCTGTGTCCTAACAGTAGGACATCTCGAATCACCTGATCAGAGTCAGAGACAAAGAGAGAATGAGGGAGGATAGGAGATCACGATCAGAGTGGATGTAAAGAGAAGGTTCAAAGTCCATGGATGTGACTCAGAACTGAATTGGATGCTCAAGGGCATGCAGTTGTAGTGTTTGTAGTGTTTTCAGTGTTGAATTTTTGCAAAGCTGGAGGACGGTGAAAGGTGACTCACATGTGGTATTTAAGAGTGAATATGTGTGTGTGCCCCTTGGGTAAAACAAGGCCAAGGACTGGACCATTTCAGTTTGGCGACAAAGGCTGTAGTGAGGGACTAGCTGAAATAAATGGTAAATGGTCTGGCTTTAAACACCTCTATTTGGATACTGAAAACTGCCTTATCATTTTAGACAAAATTAGAGGGAAATGAATCATGGCAAGAAAAAAAAAAATTTCCAGGACCTTGCAATTTACATTAATTAATTTCTTTTTAGTCAGGATACAGAACCATTTTGCAATTATCCACTTTAAAAGTTTATTTTTTCATCAAATTGGATAATGGTTAAAATGTTGGACAAGTTATGCAAATAAGTGCCCATTTAACTCACGTTATCGGTTAAAATAGTAACAAACAGAAATAAGATTGAATCCCAAAATTGTTAATTGTGTAAAGACAGCAAAAATATAGTTTTTAAAATTTGGGATTTTTTTCAAACCCATTTACTCCAACACAATAAATTAATAGTTGCTAATGCTAATAACAGCGGCAGTAAAGTGAACCGGTAAAGAACGTGGATCTGACCCCAGATCAGGCGTACGCGCCAATAACGACGCGTCAACGAGCAGCTAACTGATTTGAAAGCGGGTGAATAACCTCAACATAGTTGGATCAGAACAAGTGATGTTGACCAAATACTACGTGTCATTGTGAAGTCTGGTGGAAACTAACGGCCATTTTACGACGACTGATTCACAAGAAGAAGGGAAAGGTCAACAAGAACTACTTGGGCGCGTTTTTCTCCCAAAAAAGCAAGAACACAAACAAACAAACAAAAAACCCATGGCGTTTAACAATGCACAACACCACGGTCGAGACTGAATGGGATTTAAAGGGACAGTAAATGCAGACCATTTCAAATTCCGCTTCACTGAGAGGAAAATAAAATGGACAAGGAAAAGAAAGGCCTGCTCAAAGTAAGTGTAAAAAAACTGTGTCTAGTATGTGTCAGCATCCGCTGTGGTCTGTTTCTGTATCTGTCAAATGTGCTGTTTGTTATGGTAGTGTTATGTATTTGTTTGTGTTTGCTGTTCGAATTGGATTTTGTGACGATATGTACGGATAAACTATTCTGCTTTTTGCTGTTTTACCCTTTTTACATTTGCACAGAAATGTATATTCTGTCCGTTGAACTCTTCATGTTAGTGTTTTGCAGTTTCCTTTTTCATTCCATCATAGTTGTTACTTTTGGAATGTGCACAGTTTTAACTGTTCTATTTAACCACCATTTTGTAGAGATCAGTCAGGTTATGGAGTCTATGTTTATGTGTTTATTATATGCATCTGGATATTGTATCCAATTGTAATATAAGACTATTTATGTTAATTTTAAATATATTTTATATAAAGGGCTTACAACAGACACACATGGATATTAAATGAACCATTATTTAATTTCCTGACCTTGTGCACAAACTGCTCCACACGGGTCTGCAGGCCCCACACCTCGAACTTGACTGTGACCAGTTTGTATGAGCACATGATGGGCTCCTGTGTGTCGATCCATCCCTCCTGCAGCAGGCCTCGGTTAGTCTTCTTTGACTTAAAGAAGCGCAGGTCCTGGAAGCAAACAAGACACCAGACTGAGATGAGTAACAGAAAACAAATGGCTCAAACATACACAGGTTAAAAAAGAATGGCAGCATCATTTATTCTCAGCTTTGCTCAAGCAAAAAAGCAGTTTAAAGTGTAGTTTTGAAACAGTACTTATTTCAGTCTTTCTCTTTTGCATATATGAAAAATACACACACACATATACACTCCCTGCCTATAGAACAGGAACACATGCATTCATTATGTAGACTACAGGCAGCACAGCATGAGTGTCTTATTTCAAACTATGCATGCATTAATCACTGCTCCCTATACACTAATTATACTGTTGTGCTCATTTGTCCTGTGGTCATGTGTCTGCCTGTGACACAGTGTGTGTGTGTGTTATTCACAGTGTTTTTCATCCCTACTGGGAAAGCGCTTGCACCAGATATAGACATGGGCTGTTGTCTTTGACTGCACGTGTAAAACCTGTCAAGCTTCATGGAAGATGAGGTTGGACAGGATGGACAGTAATAAACAATGTCATTTTGTCTCACTACTGGAATCGTGTTGAACATTCACATACAATCGCATTCATTTCTTTCTTTAATTCTTTAACCTAGGGCACATATTGAAAAAAGTTCATCTCAGTCTTGTTTTGTGTACAATTTAGCAGTTTACTGCAGTGTGAACGAGTGTCCGTGTAGTATTTTGGCAAATGTGATCCATTTTTGTATTTTATTAAAACAAGAATGAGCAAATGGGCTCACATTAACTTGAACATCACCAACTGTGAAAATGTCTAAAACTCAAATTGACCGTTACAGTAGTACGTATTTTGTGTCTTGAAATCTTTGACTTTTATCATTATTTAGTTATTGTCACTTATTTGATTTTGAAAAGCAGTTTGACGTTCACAGGAGCAACGATTCTTTATTTGATTACTACACTGGTCCACCGTTGTGACTCAGCTGCTACTAGTGGTGAGCCGAGGACCTTATTCATCTTCAAATCGAATGATATTTACATCAGTAATGTGACGTCCACTTTCAGCTGTGGACAGCATTTCTGTGCTAAGAATAGCACAGTCGATAAGAGCAAAGACCATACTGTATAGTGGGAGGTGTGTGTGTGTGTGTGTGAAGCGTGTCAATAATAAAACACCACTGCATGGCTGTCATGACCTCTCTTGATTATTAATAGCTTGCTTTTTATGACCATCATGTCCTGATGGACAGGCTTGCAACTACATACACTCTCACTCATACACACAGAAACACACACACACTTATACAAATGTCAAATCAAATCACTACAGCTAATGTCTCGCGCCACTCTGGTACATAAACAAACATTTGCTTCTCCTCCATCACCCAGAGGAGGCAGATGGCCAGCTGGTCATCCCTCACACCGCCTCCCTTCAGTTCTTCTTCTCCAGTCCCCGTGTTTCATTCTGTGTTACTTTTTAGTGTGCTGTACTGCACTGTACTGTACTGTAGAAAACAACAAGTGTCCAATTCAGATCAACAGACTTGACCTGCCCACCTCTGAATCCTTGTAGTGACGCTCGGGGATCTCGTCGTAGGCTATGTCCACAAAACACACCTCGGTCTCTTCATTTCGAGATTCACTGGTGAAAATCTGTGAGCGAAAAAAACCCCAAAACAAACATGCAAAATTACCACAAAACCATGTCTTACAGTAAAACAGTCATTCAATCTTTAGAAGAGAACAACTTGCAATCAGAAACTTTTTTTTTTGTAAAATAATAAATGCATTATTTTACATGCAAGTTTATAATTTTTTTTGTGGAACAAATATTCTCTCAATGCATATTTTAACACATATTCATGTGTACCTGGTTTTTGCTGATTGCTGATTGTCTGAAAACCTGGCAAACGTTTTCAATTTTCTACAAACGTTGTGAAGGTCAGTGACAGACCTGCACACACAGCTGAGCAAGAAAACGGAGGCGCACTGATTTTCACAGACCTTGACAACCTTCTAATTTCCTGTTGGTTTGTAAATGACGAGCACCTTCTTTGCCTACTCCTGACTTCACTCTCAGACAATACACTAAAGTGTGAGATTGAATGTGAGTCACACAGTCCGTGACACACCATGTGGTCAGTCATTCTCTTCCTTTCTCTGACTCATTGGCGTAAACAGCAGAGAAATGCCATCCACGCGTAGTCTCTTTTCAAATTACGACGGCTCCTACGTCACAGAAAGTTTTAATATGGCTTCCTGTACACTTTAAAGCAGAGAGAGGAAGTATTAGAGGGAGCGAGTGAGGTCAGCAGGAGGCATAAAGGTTTAATGAAGCAACGGAAAAATGTTTTTATCAAAGGTAAAAGGCATGAGGTGTGAAACCCAGTGATAGAGATGACGCTCAGATGTGACTCCCATCGGTTTGCTCTGCAGCTCCCCTGACCCAAAACTGAGAGGTGATCATCATGATTAAAGCAGCATTGCATAACCTCCAAACCCTGACTGCTTCCAAGTAATGAGTGGCACTGAAAGGAGAGGTGGAGAGGAAGCAATGTTCTCCTGACAGTGATGAAAAGCCTGAGTGTAACCAGGCTCAGGGGGCTGCAGGGAAAAGCCAGCTCATATTTTTATTTTGACAAATCATTAAATGCTGTTATCATTCTGGTTCAGGAAAATTAATAAGTTAATTTAATTAAGTGTTGCCGCTGCAACAATTTCCCATTCTTTCTGGCAAAACAAAAAAATAATCACTGAAATAATCAGTCGTGTGATATCTGGGACTGTTGAATGTTGGTGAGGGTGTTGTCACAGTATCAGGAGGTGAAGTGTTTGTGTTTCCTGTGAAAACTGCTAATTGTATTCAGATTTCAGTCTCAACAGTGCACACAGACCGTTCTGCAGCACAAGATAGTCAAAAGTTCAGGACAGTCTGACATTAAACGCTACAGAGGAGAAAATACTTACATTATCATTGCTCCCTTTGTTGTCCTCGTATTTAGTCTCAATGTGGATGGAAAACTTGGGCAGGAAGGAGCACTAAAGGGAATAAGAGAGATGTTTTTTTAAAAAAGTATGAAATATCCATCCTTAAGGTGTGACTTTTTTGTTGTTTATTTTTGCATATTTTCCAAAAAACAGGAAATAGTAGTATATATTGTATGGGGTTAGTGAAGGATTTGTGAATTAGTTCAGTAAAAGTAGTATATATTGTATGGGGTTAGTGACTGATTTGTGAATTAGTTCAGTAAAAGTTCAGTAAAAAGAGACTGTAAACGTGGCACACTCTAAATGTCATTTCTGAGACTCATTTTGCTGATCACCACTCAGCCTTTTCATTTTCAATTGTACGTCAATAAAAGAAACAGTAATTACAATTTTCATTAAAATTGCACTGCTTGCATAAAATGTGAGCTTGATAATTTCCCACCTGCAGGTTCCAGTAAATAAGAGCAAGCATAATTAAGAACTGTCGAAATGTCACAAACACACAAATCTCTGTCTAGACTCCAGACTAGTTTTCATTTCATTTTACCCACGATAATACTGCAGTAAAACTCAATATATGTGTAAATGAAGAAATATAAAGTCACATTATCTATAGTGGTGTGCAAATGGCACACTCTATCCATTGCATTTGCATTTACTTGGATTATAGAAACCATTACTGGACCATTTTTGTCAAACAGTGTCGAGTCATAAAATTTAGGTTGGACAAAAAGACCCATGGAGTGGCATCTAAGGTCTGAGCGTGTGAAAACCACCGATTAAAACACCAGGGCTGCATCATGTGATCAGGTTATTCACATGTCAAACTGCTAGCGTTGTATCATTATCAGGTGATTTTATGTTTCCGGACAAACAAAAACCCAAGAAAAACACAGGCGTTTATAATTCAGCATTAGGATATGTCGCCACTGTTCACCTCTTCTGACCTTTAACCTTCACCACACTGATTTACATGCCAGCTGCTAGTGTATACATGCGTGTGTGTGTTACTGGTTAAGCTATACTTGTGAGGTCATAGTTTGAAAACATACTGCAGTAGTGGGGACATTTTGCTGGTCCCCACAGAGTGAGAGGGTACTTTGAGGATCATGATTTAGTTTGGAGTGAGGATTGAGGTCAGTTTGGTATTAGGGTAAGGATTAGGATATGGTATATTTGTAGTAGTTGAGGTTCCTGAGAGGGGCTAGGGAAATGTCTATGTGAAGAGCTCGCAAAGTCGTAAAACCTGTGTGTGAGTGGGCGTGTGTGTTGTCAACTTTGAAATACTCACTGTGTACTCTGAACACGTTCCAAATAGAGAGCCATCAGTTTTAGTGACAGACAGGAGGAAGTGGGGACAAAAAGGGAAAAGAGACACTTTGTTGAAAATGGAAAAAACCATCAGACCTTAGAAAAAAACACCACATCACAGAGCACATCATGTGTTGTCAAAGTCCATTTAAAAATGAAAATCTGACACACTGTATGTACTGTACAGAAGAGACCACCTCTGCTCCAGTGTTCAGTTTAGTCAAAGCTGAATAAATGTTCCTCACTTCCCGTCACATACCCAGGTTTATGAAGAGTACCTTCTACACTGGCAGTACTTATTTATTGCACTAAGGTGCTACATGTCTGAAAATGAAGCATCACACTAAATCATTAGCATCAATAATCTCTGGCTATCTCTAACTATTTAGCAGCTACATAGTCATCATGATAAAAGAAAAACGTTTGCCCAGAGTGCCAAGCAAACCTTTCAACTAAAACTCTTTATCATTTATCATTTTATGTGCTAACATAAAATGTACCATCACAGATGTAAGAAAAAACAAACAGAGTCTTTATACATAGACTATATATTTATATATATATATATATACATATATGTGTGTGTATATATATATATATATATATATATATATATGTTTGTATTTATATATATATATAAATATGTGGTTACTCTTCTGTTCCCTCCGCTGACATTCTGGGATATTGCTTTCTTATCCTTTTGCCCTCACATCGATTCCATATAATTGCTCCTAGATGCTGAACACAGAGAGAAAATTGAACATTTTCTGTGCGTGTGTTCTCATGATCTTCTAGTACAAATTCTGGAATACCTAATTTTAATTGGAAACATTTCCAAGAGCAAGGTCTTAGGTTTTTTTGCTTTGCACAAGAAGCAGCAGTTTAAACGACTGAAGAATATCAGCTAATGTTACAGTTACACCACATCCAAGACAACAGCTCAAAGACCCTTCAGTTACGTCATTACCTGTGACAGTATAAGGGTAGTAGTTCCACGCCTTCTCTGTGACGTAGAAGATTTTGGGGACAACGGCTCTGGCCCAGCTGGGCAGTTTGCTGTAACACAGAGAAGGAAATCTGTATCAGCAAAAATCTGTACCAGCAAGTCACACTTGCGATTTGTATCCTCAGCTCATTAGAGCACATTACATTAACCAAATCCTATTTTTGGATTGTTACACCTACTCTGTCCTCTGTCCTCACCCCCTGCTGAGTTACAGGTACAGTCCTACCATTAGTGCACCCAGCATTCATCCATCAATATTTTACTGCTTAATCCTATTCAGGGTCACATGGTGAGCTGCAGACAATTCCAGTCCACTGACCACTATGCCCCAGTGTGGCCTCATTACTGGACAAGTATAAGTTAGTCCGCCTGTTTGTGATTCATACAGTGATGTTTCCTACATCCAGGCTTCGAATGAGGCTTCAGCTGTTTTCTCTGATTTGTCTTTAATGACGTCTTTGGGAACCATAAATATTGGTCAGTCACACATCGCAAGAAAAACTGCCGTGTATCATTAGCACAAACGGATCATTAATCAAAGCACATTGAAGGTTTTCGCATTTGACTTTAGCCAGCAATTAATTATTTTTCCTTTGCTATTTCTGCACACCCTCCTTGTCGTCGTTGAGAAACGGTAATTAAATATGGATAGAAGCAGGTTTGCACATAACTGTCTGTGCAACAGGGTGGAACATGGAAAACATAGTTTGGTCTATCTCAAAGGTCTGACAAACACATACACACACATATATACGCACACACTTTGCAGTTTTAACACGATAACAGGTGGTTTGTGGGTGGAGAGAAGCAGACGCGGCGTACGACAGCGACTGCTTAAATTATCCATCACATACACTGACCTCCTCTCTCTCTGCCCACACACCGTGGCACACACACAGGCATTCCACGGCTTGCACACAGGCACACACATGCACACACACACACACACATACCCAGAGTAGCACAAATCCTTCCTCTACTACACTGAGTCTGACAGTCACGCTTATCATTTCCCAACGACCCAGTTACTTGTTACTTGTGACCACAAACCCTCACCCTACATATTCCATCCATCCATCTATTTTTATATAATATATGCATATAATATATCTATATCTAACTCTCTCTCTCTCTCTCTCTCTCTCTCCATCTATTATTAATTGTTATATTTTAATTTGTACATGTTGGCCCTCGTCTCCCCTGTGGTTCAAAGACATCTAACAGTCAGATGATACAGTGAGAGTAGCTTGTTGTGCTGCTGTTCAGCTCTGGAATCATGTCTGCATGGCAATCGGTTGTTTTGCCAATTAAACTACTCTAATTGCCCATATGTCCACTTTCAGAAGTCCATGTTGGCAAATGTTGGACAGAGACACTGAACAGCTTGTTTTAATTTGACTTTCTTTCTCGCCATTCTTGATTTCAACCCCACTAAAGATGAGAACAAATACAAAATTACAAAAAAACAAGGAAAAAACTGCATGCATGTACCTCTAGTACTTCTGCGTCAAACCATCACAGTTTGTTTATGGACAGTGTAGCCAATGTGTGTTTCGTTGCTTGCAGCCGACCCCTGCTCTGATCCCTTTATGGAAATCAATAGTTTTAAATTGCATTACTTTGATTGGAGTTGCCTTTATTGATGGCCTTGTGCTCCAGCCAACAGTTCCATGTGGATTTATCGAACACATTAAGCCAGTTGATGACAGGCATACTGTAAATGAATTAGTGCAGTTGAAGCAATTTGCGCAAAAAACTGTAGAACTAAAAGGTCCAGTGATGATGAAATGCCCATGATGCCTGTGTTACTCTTAAACGTTGTTTAAACTAATTTCCCATTCTTTTACTTTTTCTTATTTGTGGAAACTGAGTCCTTGGTATATCCTTAATTTAAGTGGAATGGGCAGTGAACATGGCATTCCATGAAATCACTAAATTAGTGTGGTCCAAGAAACACCAGCCATAATTCATACTACTATGCAGTAATGTTCATGTATTGTAATAGGAAATCTTGGGCTTTGCTCTGATGCGCAGGCATTCAAGGACAAAATAGAAAATGAAAAAGCAGACTAAATTAAATGTCTTAGAAAATGATTCACTTTTTAAAAGATTCTGGGGAAAGAAATAGTGAGAAAAATGTAAATATGTCAAATAACTAACACTGGAAAAAAAGATCCAACAGGATCAATCTTATGAACTACAGTAAAAGTGGAAATTTTCTCATCAATGTACGGTCTAAATGTTTTTGATAGAACGCCAACCAAAGACATTGATTTTGTTTTGTTTTGATAAGACAGTACAGGGATGAGAAAGAAAGAAAATGTTCTGATTGACCACCATCACTGCTGAAAAATATAAAATATGGCTGAGGAGGAGTGGCAGCCAGGCTGCATAAAACTGTCACATCTCCCGAATCTTTCCTATCAGGTTCATATCTTCAGACAAATAAACAATGTTCTCTGAAATGAAATATTACAGACTGATGGATGTTAAGCTGATGTAATAGAATTGAAGTCTGCTGGAGGATGGCATCATGTTTACATCATAGAATTTATTCCTGTAATCAAATCAAAGACAATGTTCAGGTCAGAAAAAAAAACCACTCACTTGTTGAGGTAGATTCGTTTCTCAGTGAGCTGGCCTGCTCCGTGCTCAGGGTCCTCGAATGGCTCATTCAGGACCACCTCCACCCCCTCCCCACGTTCGCTCTGTTCATTACTGTGTTTACTGATCATATATAGTTGACCAATGCGGTACTAAAAGAAAGGAGACAAACAATCAGAGAAGCATGATGTTAAATTGATTTTCTTCAGAAATAATATATATTTTATATGAGGTGACAAGGGAAGGAGGAAAAGGTCAACCTCAAAGGTCGACCCTCGTAGCACACCGTACTTAACCACACTTGACATGCATTTTCTCTACCCTGTCACTCAAACCGTTCTAATTAAGTTAAAGAAGAAACCATAGCAACGGCACCTTCTGTACACAACACAGCACTCAGAACAAAGCAGTACAAAAAAGATGGTAGACTGCAATATTCCTTCAATTCAGTTCTTGCTCTCTAAAGACTCAAAGGTTCCACATCAATACTGGCTGACTGTCAGACAAATACCTGGAACTAACCCTGGCCCCTTCAGTCTACATTGCTTCCCATTAATCTGGACAAAAAAAATTAAATAAATAAATATAAATTAAAAATCCATATAGTATGAACATTTTCATGACTTGCTTATTATATATTTAATTATACTTAATTATATACCTGTTTAAAATAAAAAATAAACACAAATAAATACGAGGAGAGTGCTCTCTACATATAGATGTGACACCGGGTGACAGTTACCACAGCAGAAGAACGCACAGGGTTTAGAAGCTGTCTGCAGCCAAGTGACATTGATCCCACATCAGGTCACGACCAGGCAGCAGAACAGCTGTAACAGCAGCACGAGCAGACATTTAGTTTGACCAGCCTCATACATCAGTCAGTGCCCAGGATCTTACACTCATCACTGACTGACCCACTTGGCCTCATGACAGTGTCATTCCTGGTCACCCTGACAGACATGACTGCAGCGTCACATGGCAGCTATTTTCCATACATTTGGAAAACCACAAGCCTTGGAGTGGAATCACTCCAGGACGGAGATTTCCGACTGCTGTGAAACCTATTTCCGGCCCAGGGAAATCGATATCCCCGCCAACCTCCTCGCGGCACACACACACACACAGCTATGTTAAGCTAATGGAAAAACGACAGGGGATGCCCAGGATGCTTGCTTGAGTCTCTACATCCATCCATGAAATAAAGCAGTGGAGAGAAATGTGATAGTGTAGTGGAAAATACAACGGTGTGTACCAGTAAACAAGTTCACGTTGTAACTCCTACGAC